TTTTGGTTTTACAGGCAGCATTGGAATTCTTCTTTGCTTGACTTGCTTCTGAAATCTGACCAAACATAACATCTTTTATTTTTTCTTTTCAACCTCTTTTTGGTCAGGCTTTGAACTTTTTAGCACTCTCTAGTATAATGAATAAAGATACTCAAATTGTCAGATGCTAAAATAATTTCACTAATTAAGTTCTTGAAATTTATTAATACTTTGAAGAGATGTGATCATTTTTCCTATTGTCTCAAGTAAAATGATATAGAATTATATTTTCTTGTTTTTTCAAGAATTTAGCAATAAGTCTCTAGCCTAGCATGGTTATTAACTGAATTTTAATCTTGAAGTTTCATCATATAATGTTGGATTGATGAAGAATAAGCATTGTGTTAAGTGCATTGACAAGGAATTTCATTGTTGGGAAGAAAATTTTATTGTGTAAAGTAAATGCTATATTTTTGCTCTCATTACTAGGATAAGAACCTATATTATATCTTTTTATAAAGAAATATCTAGCATAAGTGGCTCCATTTACAAGAAACTTTGGGATTTTACCAGGTACTATCTTCAAAAGGTACTTCTACACTCTTTCCAAAAGAAGTCATGGCAATTCATGGATAACAAAGAAAAGCAATCTGTGGCCTGGTTTGGTCTTTCTGAATGGCATGCCTAATTTCATAAGGAAAATAATGTTTCAAAAATTTTTTGTTCTCACTTGTTCACTCACACATTCTTTCATACATAAATAATGATTAAGTACAATGTTTCTTGAAGTTTTCAAACTATAAATGAAAGCAACATTTTCATCATTTTAAACCATTGGCGATGTTTCACTATGAAAGGTCATACGTGTAAATATCTTTTGCTTCTGAAACTGAAATTATCTTAAGTCTTTTTAGTAGTGATGATAAATATAGCCTTTAAAAAATAGTAGTTTCCTTTCCCTTCTTTTTTCCTTAGTGATGATGTTCTCTGGTTTTTGGGTTGGATGTAGCCTAGTCGTAACAATAATGATGTTATAGTTATTCTATCACTGCAACAATCTGAGAAGCCAAAATAAAATATGAAGTGTTACTTTTTTTTCTTTTAACAAGATCACAAATTAATAAATTTTTATTCATAACTATTTCCTATTCCCAGTGGAATAAACAAAAATCAATTTTTTTTTTCTCTTTTGATTTATATGCTTTCCATATGAAACAGGAATTTCCAGTATTTTTTGAACAAAGCTTTCTTTTTTTTTTTTTTTTTTTTTTTGAAATCCTTTTAAAGATTTTTGTTTTCTGATCATGATTTAATTCCCAGGCATTCTATTTAGCAATATTTGTAGGCACATAGCTGGTATGCCAAATATCGTTCAAATATTTAAATCCATTCTGGCTGATCCATTCTTCAGCCCTCTTCAACAGCAAATATATGAAGAAGGGGTTCAGCTGTCTGGAGCATATTTGGTACGACTTTTGGTATAAATTGAAAGTTATACAATGTGTGTGTTTACCTTTATAAAAAATATTTTTCATAATTTTAATAAAACCTGGACATATGAAACCGGGTTTATGCTTTTTTTTTTCATTAAAATTAGCAACAAAAGTATTAAAAACTATTTTTGCAAATATGCAGTCTAAAAAATAAAGTGTTTAACATTTTTGTTGGCATTTCTTTAAAAAAAAAAAAAAAATTGATATCTGCCAACCTTAAAGAATAGTCTCAAAGAAAATACACTCTGCTATATATATATATATATATATATATATATATATATATATAATGTGTGTGTATGTATATGTATGTATGTATGTACATGTATGTGTGTATGTACAAGGTGTATCAAAAATACTTTTACAAACTTTGGGGACAGGTTCCTGACACCAAAACAAGGTAAAATATCTATAGAAACATATGTCTAAAAGGTCATCATTGTACCTCAACACAGCAGCCCATAACAAACATTAAAAATGTCCTCAGCTTGCTTCTACACACACATGCACCTGTTCGCTCATTGACTGGTGGGCCCTTACAAATACTTCCAAACAGTGTTGAATGCTTTCGCAGGCCCTCATGGGACATCGATAAAGCATCTCTGCATTATTAATGTCTGCTGTATAAACCAATTCTTTTAGGTGGCATCGCAAATAAATCCAAAGTATTGAGGACAGAACATGCAGACCATGGAACCAGTCCACCCCTACCTATTCATTTTTCATGGTAGATGTCAGCCAGTGCATTGCAAACAATGTGACTAAAATGTGCTGGATCCCTTTCATGCATGAACAACACACATCTTTGTATTATCAGGGGTACATCCTTTAGCATGTCTGGAAGTAGGTTTGAAATAGTCCCTGTAGACAACTCCTGTAAGACTTGCTGGGAGAATATATGGATCTATCAGGTAGTCACCTACAGTTCTAGACCACACATTAAACTTATGCAGGTTTCTAGCCTGTATTGTACAATGAGGATTCCAATTAATCTACAAAAGTTGTTTGTGTAAATTTGTTATTCCATCTCTTTCAAATGCTGCCTTATCCGTAAACAAGACTGAAGAAACAAACAACAGACTGGCAGTTTGTACAATAAACCACTGGCAAAAGTTCTCCCATGATGAGTGATCAGAGGGCAAAAGACCCTGCACATGTTGCAAATGATACAAGTACAGGAGCTGCTCTTGAAGTACTCTTCATGCAGTACCATGATGTGTACAACATGCTAGAGCCACTTGATGTGTGCTGATACCTGGATTTTCTCCTACAGCCTGTATAATGTGGTCAGGCATATGAATGGATCCCAATCTTCCTTGATACATAGTTTGTGGTGCCACAGATTCTGTTTCAGCAGCATGACTATAAACAACATCAAAGGTTGGATGACTTGGCTGTCTTTGGTCTGGAAACGCAATCTGATACACCCGTGCAGCCTTGCATCCATTACCATTCACACGGCCATATGTAAAAATCATATCTGCCTGCTCATGATATGAATATCCTACCATTGTTAAATGGAACACTTAGTTAACTCACTACTACACATGTTAAACATTGAAGATGGACCACTCACAAATGTACATGAATGACAAATGTAACCTAGTCTACATAGCAACACAGCATCATCTACCATAAACTTTCTTAAAACTTAAGCTTAACTCAAAATGAAATTTCTGTTTCAGTCAGAACATATTCCATTTCTCTAGCAAACACCTCATTTTATATCATCCTGATCGTCATGAGATCTTTAGATGAACTTGGTAATTTTAGGTTTATTCTTAGGACAGACTAAAAGGATGACAATTACCCATTAATGGTCAACATTTTCAAAAGACATCTCAGTTTTTGTACTTTTTGTCTTCACGATAATGACAACAACTTATAAATAATGACTCTAGGTTTTGTTTGCTGGGTTGTCTACAGAAAATACTACCAATATCTGATGTAATTATTCTGTATTAAGTTTGGGTTCAGATGTTTTTAATTGATTTTGTAAATTTCTTTATTTTGATGCTTTATTTTCCTTTATGTTAAGCTTATAACATTTTGATTGTTACATTTTACTCCCCACAATATATATATATATATATATATATTAATGCATATTTCATTAAATAATATAGACAAGTTTTGTCTATTTATTTTAAGTAAGTTCCTTTCATAGTCTGATAAGCTTAATCACATTATCATTGAAAGACTAAAGGAAAACACCATATTGATACATGTTTAAATCCAATCTAAGCTTTCGACTTACATAAGCCATAATAATGACAATTTCAATAAATCAAACACACGGCCAAAACAACAATGATAGTCTGCCCTTGCTGCATTAAAAATTTCCAAGTAACAACAAACTCATATATACGAGACGCGGAAGTGAAAAACAAGTATTAAGTATAAGAAGCTGTTGGTATAAACCAACGGCTTCTGTTATAAATTATAGGCATTTAAGGATATTTGTGGAGATTTCATGTATCAATATGGTGTTTTCCTTTCGTCTTTCAACGATAATGTGATTAAGCTTATCAGACAATATGAAAGGAACTTAAAATAAATAGACAAAACTTGTCTATTATTTAATGAAACATGCATTAATGAAAAATTGCTGCCTATATATATATATATATATATATATATATATATATATATATATATATATATATATATATATATAATGTTTGTTTGTATAATATTGGCAATTTCTGTCTATCCATTTTTTTATTAAACTTTTCATATTTCAAGATCCATTTTATGTAATCGATAAATTTCCCATTTTTATTTTATTTCATTCCCCTCCCAGCAGCTGAAGACTTCTGAATGTTGCTACATTTATTTTCAAGGATTGTGTTTTGTGTGTAACAACATTCAGGGAGAGACAGGGAGAAACAAACTTTGGTAAAAGTACTGCTTATATAAAACAAGTTAATAAAAAAATTAGACAGAAGTCAATATTATTCAGCCAAATATGTTTTGAAGAATTCTTGCTGCCTACACACACTGTGTGTGTTCTTTTTTTTGTTTTTTTTTTCCCCCCCTCCCTAATAAGATTTGAAAGAGACCAGATTCAAATGTTGTGGTTTAAGCATAATGGTTAAGTATATTGTCTAAATAAGCAAATTTTTAACCAAGCTACAAACTTTGTTCATTTTATTTTTTATCTCAACCTCAGAGGGAGGGTGGAATTCTAAGTAATAATGCTCTGGACCTTTTTCATACAATGAAAGTCAATTCTGAATATATGAACCAAAATTATGAATTAGCACTTAAGCAGCTAATTAGCTCTTTTTGTGCAATAATTAGTAAATTCTAACTTTTGAATGTTTTCAATTTAATTTTGGTTAATATAATTTTCAGAATAATCTTGTATGATGTTGGAAAGATAAATGGCCACTGCAATATGAAATGAACAAAAAATGGTCTATATTTCTTTTTCTTTATTTATATAAATATATATATATATCTATATATCTATAGAGAGACTTTAAATCTAAGGGCCAATCATAATTTTCCTTGATTTTCTTTCAGGTCCATTTATGCCAATGCCCAGTCCAGCCACTTCAGGCAGTATGACTCCATACACCTCTCAGTACCCTTCTTCCCAAACAACCACTGGTTATACAAACTCTTCTTCTGCCTATCCAGGCCAAATGAACTATCAAAATCCGTATAGTTACCCTACACCAACAGGATATCCTCTGTACCCAGGTTATCCTCGACTTTATCCTCCCTACACTACTATACCTTCCTCCTCTTCCTCTTCTTCAACTCCCAGCTTTGGGACCAACTCAACAACTTCAGGTAATTCTGACCTTTACTGAGTTAGGCTATATTAAAAAAAAAAAAAATTAAAAAAAAGAAAATAGGTTGTTAGAGATTTTTTTTAGAAAATTACCTTCCCCCTACCCTTCCCTAATGTGAATGTCTGTATTGAAATGTTGCATAATTATAGTTTGGGTTTGTTTTTGTTTAGTGATAAAATAAAAAACAATGAAACTAAATCTGTAACATAAGATTTTAACAATAAAATATTAAAGATTTTTAAACTTCTTTGATAAGATAGTTTTAGAAATAGATTTGTATGCTTACAAATATATAAATTTAATTCTTTGGTCCAGCTGTTAAAATGAAGAGGTGGAAGTGTTTCTTAAACATCCAAGCAATAGATTAACATTTTGAAATAATATTAAATATTGCTAAATCAAATAGTGATACTTAAATATATATTTGAATTTTCTGTTGTTACTTTAAAGAAATGTAGATATGAAACTTTGGGGAAGGAAGCTTTAATGTAGTTGTCATAATGAATTTGTTGTGAGTGGAGCACTGCTTGTCCTGGAAATGGGATATCGACCATATTGATTTTTTTTTTTTCCTTCCCCCCTTCCCCACTATTATGCAAAGAAATAACTTTGCATGTTTTGTTAATCATTTGTTTGATAGGCAATGTGACTTTGTAAAGGGCTGAACCTTGATTAGTGTAATGTACTCCCTCTACAGAGCACCTCACTAATAACCACTTAGATGCATCACAAATGTTCTGTTAACCACAGTGCTAACATTACATCTCCAATCACTCAATAGATCTCCTTACTACTTTTTATTTATTTATTTCTGGTCTCAGTTTCTCTCTTTTTTTCTCTCTCTCTCCTTTCTTTCTTCTTTCTTTTTTTTATAACTTTTTGTAGGTGTGCAGAGCACTTGCCTTGTAGATATTAGAGTAGACCATTGGTATCTACATTTGCCAACTTAGTTTCTTGTAATGATCAATCATTTCCTGTTGATTTATTCCTTAAATTATTATACTAAAATCCTGTTGGCTTTATGTATGCATTTCAAATGGTAAAGTTACTATTTTTAAATGAAACATATATTTAAAATATTCAGTAATTATTTTTCCTTAAAAGCACTTGGCGTATTTATTTATTTAAGAGCTTAATATTGCAAAATAATTAAATATTTTTTATTTTATGACAATTTTATTTTAATAAGACTTTTTTTACTATATTCATAAAATTGGACAACTTCTCAGTTAGAATAAAGAGATCTTGAGGTTGAAATTTTTTTTTTTTTTCTTTCTTCTTTACATTGACTTCATATTTTGGTACCAGGTTCCCATCACACCCAAACTGTATCTGGAACCAGCACAGTGACAGAGGAACATATCAAAGTATCTTTACTCTCGGCAGTTGAAGAAACTCTTAAAAGACGGCTAAAAGAGACTTTTGCTCAGGCACAGGTAAACGTTTTTCTTTTTTTTAATACTCTAAGAAAAAAAAAATCAACTTATATACTAAGTTCTAAAAGTTTTTTATTCAGTCACATAATTTACCCAACATGTAATTGCTAATGAATTTAGCATTATCTGTCTATATTTCTGAGATGAGGTCTTATGTACATTTTTTACAACGTTTTGGCCGTTGTATGCTCTGGCCTTCTTCAGGTGGTTGGAATGTCGAACTGAACCTTTTATTTCACTCACTGGGGTAGACTGTTCTAGTTCCACATGCCATGTTTAATAGATGTCAGTTATCAGTTATTTCCTGTTAATTTCCCTCTGAAAGTTCTCCACTGCCTTAGCCGGGTATTGAACTCACTCTCTTTGGGTCCTGTCACTGGATCTAACACCTTTATCCACTGTGCCATGTGTCCTCTGATAACTGACATCCATTAAACATGGCATATGGAACTAGAACAGTCTACCCCAGTGAGCGAAATAAAGGGTTCAGTTCAACATTCCAACCACCTGAAGAAGGCCGGAGCATACAACAGCCAAAACATGATAAATATGGCAACAAAGATGAGGACAATAGTCTGAATAATGTAAATAGTGTACATAATACCTCATCTCAGAAATATAGACAGATACTGAAGAAGGTCAGAGCATACAATGGCCAAAATGTCATAATAAATATGGCGACAAAGATGAGGACAATAGTCCGAATAATGTAAATAATGAATTTAACATTATCATTTAGGAATTTGGTTTGTTGCCAATTTTGAAGTTGTTCTCTATGATTCTGTATATCAATAGATTTGACAAAGTTTGCTTAAAATCTTGAATACAACCCTTTCTGAGAATAAATTACCCATTTTAAAAGAATATACTTCTAGTTATTACAAATATTTTACAAATATTGAAATTCTAAAAATACACAAAACAAACATTTGCTGAAAGCTGAAAAATATACATTTTCAATTTTATCAGAAATCTATATATTTGAAATAATTTAACTTTCATATTTCAGCCTATTCTTAGACTCCACCAATTAAATATCACTCATTGTTTATAGCTTAAAAAACATTTTGATATTTAGAAAGTCAAAAATCATTTAAATTTCAAATTTTTCTCCTCCTTTCAAATTGTAATAAATAGCTTAGAGTAAGTTCTAAAAGATTATTTTTCTTATTAAAGTATCTTAAATGTTATTGATGAAATGTGAATCCTATTTGGATAAATATTTTATTTGTTTAACTCACTAAAATTGATCAGATAATAATAATAATAAAGAATTTTTTGTGTATTCAAAAATATTTCAGATAGAAAAGGTATGAATTGTCAGGACATCTGTTACTGTAATGAATGCATAATTTACCTTCCTGAAATTATGAATTCACTTTTAGATCAATAAACATTTTGCTCCAAAACTGCATTGTTGTTATTATTTCAGGCTGAAATGGATACATTATATAAAACCCAGAATGACCTTCAAAAGGGACGAGAGTGTTTAGAGCGAATGGTAAAATCACTGGAACAGGAGAAGGTAAATTTGTTTGTCATTCATGTGGAACATCTGTAGACTTTGATTAGTTTAATTTCTTTTTTTTTTTTTTTTTTTTTTTTTTCTATTCAACTTGCTATCAACTTTCTTTTAAAAAAAAAAAAAAAAAAATTAATCAAAATTAGTCATCTTGTTTATGATTGTAGCAGAACATTAGATACTCAAGTAAATTCATCAAGTCGTGTTAATAGAAGATGAACTAAACAGAATTAACTATAACCTAACAAGGCTAAAATATTTTCTTTTAAGTTTGATCAATTCTCTGGTAAAATAGAAATAACACTAATAACGTACAGTTATTTCAATTAGGGGTTTTAATGTATAAAGGTAAATCCATGAGTCTTTTGCCCAACACAGGTGGATTTTGATTTGAAATTTTTGCTGTATAATATTTGATCTAGAATTAAGGGAGAAACATTAGATTGAGTGCATTGAGAAAGGGAGAAATTATGTTGAAGAAATATTTGTTGTGTAAAATAAATGTGTTATATCATTATTATTATTATTATTAGACTTTGGAAATATTACCATACTAATATCTGCTAGCATTTATCCTTGAATTTAGAAAAGTTGTGTGTGCTTGCAAAAAAATGATTTATTCAGGTAATTGCAATATTTATTTTCCCCATTCACTGTGTACAGGAAAGGTGGCAAGTATTAGCTGAGATGTGAAAGAAATATCAATAAAAGGAAAAATGGTTTATATTCACGAAAGGATTTAGTTTCGCTTTTTTAAATTTTTAGGATGAAGTAGAAAAGAACATTTCAATATTGAAGGAGAAGAATGCTGAACTGAAAGAGGCCTTGAATAGAATGGAAAACCAGGGAGAGTTAAAAATTGATGATGCTGTGGTCACTACTGCTCCACTTTACCGACAGTAAGTACAAATAACCTTTTTATGGCCTTTAAGTATATTTCACAAATAAACAAAAAAAAAAAAAAAGTATTTCTTCTTCAGAATTACTAAAGAAAGATTGAGCTCATTATTTTTTTAAAAAGTAAGTTTCTTTTTAATTATGAGACTTGAAGAAAATTTATGTGTACAGTTTAAGTCTGATATTCTTCAGCTGAAATTCTAAATAAATTATTTTACATATCAATATGAATCTTCAGCCAGTTAAGTGTAGGTACCTCCACCTTTTTGGCATAAATTTTCGATACCTAAGGTTTAAAATTAAATTTTAAAAATAAAAAATCTTTCTTGAAGATTTCATTTTAGCTTTAATTGAAAGTTTAATAATTAAATTTTATTATTTCCATTAAGTAAAATAATCTGGTGTATTTCAGATAGAAATTATATAGATTGGAATGTCAAATTTAATTTCGATTTCTTAAAATTTTCTTAAAAGCGGACATTTTCTTAATTTTAAGAAATTTGTAAACAAATTTTTTCTATTTCAAAATTCTTTCAAAAAATAAATATACATTTCTGACACGTTATTTTATTAAAATTAAAAAATTTAAAGTTAAATTAATCTGATTTGAAATAAATATTACTTATAGCAAAAAAAAAAATAATATAAAACCAATTATTAACGCTTGGTCCTGTTCATCTGATTCAACATTTGATGGACTGCTGATTGACAAAGTGATGACAGCTACTACGGATGACCCAATTGTCAGAAATTTAAGTGAACGCATTTTTTTGGTTTTTAACTACCTAGTAATTTTTACAAATGAACATATTTTCTGCAATTATTTTATTGACTTTTATTTACCTTTCAAAGATGCAAAAATAAAAATTAAAATACTATAAAATTTTCTTCAATTAATTTTAGAATTTAATAACAAATGAAATACCATGATTATTCAATTGAAGTATGACCCACACTAATGTAAATGCATAAAATAAAAATATTTAGCGAAATAGTAATTGAAATAAGTAAAACTTATTTTAAGTTTTAAACTTTTAAAGCTGAATGGAAATTTTGAAAACCTGTTGAAATGTAACTGAAGTGACCTAATAAAGGGACAAAACTTTTAGATCATAATAATGGCAATTTCAGTCTACCATACATGAAAATAAGGTAACATATTTAAAAAAAATATTTTTTACCAAAATTTTCTTTTAAAAAAAAAAAAAAATAATAATAATTTCAAAAATAATTTCATTCATTTGTGAATAAGTCCTGAAAATTTCATTAAAATCGGACAATTATTTGATTTTTACAAGAATTTCCAAATCAACGTGTTTTTAACAGAAAAAAGGCACAAAAACGTCAATGTTATTAGTTAGCCACCCCAATGACATAAACTAAAGATTTTAACCAAAATTTCGAACGTGTTAGAAAGGATTAAAAAATTTCAAAAATAATTAAAAATACTTTGGTCTTTCATCTTAATAATAACAAACATTTTTATGATAAAACTTTATTTTCATTAAGTTATGCTGTTTCCCACAAAAAAGCAGAGGCACCTAGTTAAGTGTAATACGTGATGCACGCTTGGGTGATCCTGTCTCTTTTGATTCATTACTGACTAGGAAGATTTTCCCACATTAGGTTGTCACTTTTTGCAGTAGACTGGTTGCCAATACATGTGTGCATATATATATATATATATATATATATATATAAGTTTGAAGACACCCCTGGTAATTTTTTTAATTGGGCCCCAGAAGTAGTTGTTTTGTACTTTAAATCAGATAAAATTATTATACATAGTTAAAAATAAAAGCAAGGCATGATTTTTTTTTTTTTTTATTAGTGATTCTATTATGACAAAAAGAATTAAAGCATTTTATAAATTAAATTTTGTTCTTGCTAAAATACCTTCCTTTAGCCTTGATTACTGGAGCACAAATTTTTGGCAAAAGTTTCTCAAAGTATAAATTTGAAATTGATTCCATTCTTTTTTTTCAATGACTTTTTTTTTTTTTTTTTTTTTTTTTTCATCAATACTCTTCTGTCAAGTTCCTCCCATGCTAATTCTGGTGGTGGTTTCAAACTTTTTGAACTCTAGTGTGTATGCATACATACCAACTCTTTGTTTGCAATAACAAAAAATTTCTTGTTAATTTACATTTTTTACTGGATAAGTCATTTAAAATTAATTTTTTTTATAAATAACTTGAAAATGTGTTTTAATTGATCATCTAATTTTAAAAACTTTAATAGCTTATTTGTAGTTACAATTTCTATTTCATTTGTGAGTAGAAAAGAAAATGATTGCAAATATGTAATCTATAAATATAAAATCAAACACTATCTCAGTTCATATTGGATGGTGGGGGTGAGTTAATTAACTTTTAAAGATAAAATAAATTTTAATTTTCTATAAGAATTCAGTTTTTTAAACATCTTGGAAAACTTTTTAGTATTGAGTAATCTTTTGTCTGTAAAACAAATACAGGCTAAAACATTCTTGTCAAAATCCTACCAAAATTGCATAAATATATTTGAAGGTTATATTATGTAAATGTATGGAGTATCTGAAATTGATATGGCCGTATTAAACAAATATTACTGCCATACCTGGGCTGAAGCTGTTCAATCCTCACTTTCCAGCCTTGATACAGATCAAAAGTATTTATGCAGTTTTGTAAGTGTTGAATTACTTTCAAACTTTCAGCCCCTTTCCTACAAGTGAAATGTCGCAAGCCTATTGCTATTTCCTTCACAAATGTTCAAACGAGCTACATTGCTTAGTTTCACCAATTCAGACCTTTACAACTAAGAACCGCCAAAGCCACATACACACACAGTTGACTCCTCCTCATTTCTTTTGTATTCCATTGGTAAGGAGAAAGTTCCACATGGACAGCTTCTTCCAGAGAACCACTACTTTGTGGAACACTCCTGAGAGGATACTTCCCTGATCACTATGTTAACCTCTTCAAGTCTAGTGTCAACTGTTATCTATCCTACATATCCTCACTTACTTTCTCTTACATTCTTACACCCCCACCACACACACACTATATATGTAACCTTCTACCTTGAATAGTACTTGTGCCTTATATTTAATTAAAAAAAAAAAATTAAATCTCTCTGATCTACATGGAATTTCCTGTGCTGATGGAAAATAAAATTAAAACTGTATTTTGTGTGGACAGCTTGTTTATAAGTGTCTGATAGTTTTGTAAGATTCTTTTTTTAATGGTACATGAATATATTTGAAAGAAAATGTTTTGTTTTTTGTTTTTTTTTATATACTATTCCTCAGTATCCCAGCATATAAATCTTGATTGTTCAATTTCCAGATTATTAAATGCATTTGCTGAAGAGCAGGCCCTAGAAGATGCTATTTATTACTTGGGAGAAGCATTGAGAAGGAATGTTATTGATATTGACATCTTCCTTAAGGTAAGTCAAATAAGGGACCTTTTTTTCTTTTGTCTCTCTGCACGCACAACCATATTTAAAGTTTTTTTTTCTTTTTTTTCTTTTTTTTCTTTTTTTAAATAAAAAGAGAGAAAAAGTGGGTCTCTATCTTTCAATGCCATTAAAGTTACAAATTACAAAGATCTTTGAGATGGGGACAAATATTTTTATTATTTTTAAAAATATATTTGGCATTTAAAATAAACAATGGGGGATTTAGAGTTGTGAATATTAATTTTTTACATTGAACATTAAGGAACATTACTGGTTCTTTTTTAAAAAAATTAAAATCAAACCATAATTTACATTAAAAATTTATCTGGATCAAACTTTCAACAGATATTTGTTTTTATGCCTACATGAAACCATCAATTCATTTCTCTTGTTTAATAAGCTAGGGTTATTTAAGTGTTTTTAAGATAACTAATTTTTCAGTAAGGCATAAATTACATCTATTGCCTTTCCCATTGTAAGGCTTGGCTCTTGCTACAATATATGGAACATGGTTTGATCAGATAATAAAGGAAGCAAAGGAGAAAGAAAACTGATGAGATGATAGTAGTGAAAATCAATGACTGAAAATGGATATCCAAAGGAGATTTAAAAAAAAAAAAAAAAACTTTTTAAAACAGTCTATGATCTAAGATGAAGAGAAACTGTTCACTTTCCTCAAGGAGAATACATCTGACAGGGTTGTCTTAAAATTTGACTGGTCATGTATATAGCAAGTCTCAATTCCACGTCCAGTGGCTATTTCTAGTAATGACACTCAAATCAAGAATTGGGCAAAATCTCCTTTGAGGCCCAAACATTTATTAATGACTCTGCAAGTGACAAAGATTTGATGGAGATAAATCAGACTTTAGAAACACATTTACAGCCTACAATCCACTAGCCCAGCCTCACTTGTCCTGTGACCTGTTTGATGAGTCACATTCTCTGCTTGATTTGGTTCTTGATTTGAAGGTCAAAAGTTCAGTTTTTTATTATTATTATTATTGTCATTAAATCCTTGTATTGTCAAAGAGCCCACTCCAAGGCAATACATATATTATAGGTATAGCCTTAGCCCAACCCCAATGACTTTTGAGGTAAAGCTATCTTGAGATGACAAAGGTAATTTTAGTTGAAACCCTTTTGAAAAATAGTAGAATTATAAGTATTGTCTTTTTGTTAAAAATTTCTCCCCCCAGAAAAACTTGTGTTATTTATTTATTTATTATCAATTTCAATTGGAAAAATTTGCAGTTAAAAGCAGGCAGATCTTCATAAAAAAAAATAGCAACTATTGGAATTCTCTCCTTTTCAGTTGAAATACTAAATGAAAAATGTTTGATAACCCCGGACAACAGATTTGGCAATTTAGGTAAAAACATGTTTAGATGAAATCAACTACATTCAAAATCTAGCACCTCATGTTTTGAGCATATTTATGTCCAACATAAATAGATTAATAATTTATTATTAGCCACTGCAGCTGGAGGTATAGGATTTATTAGTTTTACTTGTACAGAACTTGGGTATCATACAACTGAAAACTGAGTATGTCATTTTTAAATCGGCCAATAGTATGTGCCAAATGTCTTTTCAAATTAACTTCCTTGCATTCTCATATGGTTGTTGTGAGCAATGATTATGGTGAAACAGTTTCTAGATCTGAAATGAATACTTTGGCCAGTTTGACTCCATCATGATGACTGACTACTTCTAATTTCTATAATTGGGTACCAACTCAATGTACAAGGGCCTGAAACATTTCTGAAGATATTAGAGATGAAATATTTTTATTTGGTTGTTTTCCTTAACTATAAATGTACTCTAGACAATATTAATATATAATGTTTACTCTGAACATATAGATTATATACATATCTTGAAGACTATTGTGAGTCTAAATGTGGAATCTACTTAGTCTAGTACCCAATAGTTCCTGCTATAATATTCATTTCAAAAGTATATGTATTTGAAAAGAAAAGCAAAATAGGTTTTGTCAGAAACCTAACAAAATATCTGTTTTTATATTTGAAGATCTTTGGATATGGGAAATAAAAACTTTTATGAATATAGAGGAATCTGTTTGACATAAAATAAATAAATTTCAATTTAACATAATGTTATGAAAAAGCAGTTATTTTTGGTTTTTGACTGTTGTGCATTTTTATTTTTGCAGCAAGTTCGTGAACTGTCATGGCGTCAATTCATGTTACGAGCAATCATCCAGAAGTGCCGTGAGAAAGCTGGACTGCCTGCACTCACCTGATCTTTTTTTCTTCTTCACCTCCTCCAATCTGTCACAAGACTCCTTGCAATGCTGCTGTGACAAAACTGAATTCATTGGGTAGGGGGTGGGGCACTCTGGGGAGGAGGCTTTGGTGGCAGTAACAGTGATGAGGGTGGATTGACCTTTTTTTTTTTTTTTTATATATATATATATATAAAAAAGGTGGCTAGCTAGAATCCTGGTTCACTTTTCAATAGTCAACCATATTATCTTATTTATCTCTGACTTAAAAAGAACAGACTTTAAGATATCCTCTGAAAAATTTTAATTTGTATATTCTTGTATAATTATTTCAACTTTTTTTTTTCTTCTTCTCTCCCTTTCCAAGAAAGGAAAAAGAAGGTCTGTCAAAAGTTGGATGCTATATCAACCAAAAGTTTATTTATCTTCATCCACTTAATAAGCAGTCAGTGTTTCTTCAGTTGATTTCCATTGCTGACATTTGCATAAACACAAAACAACATTGATACAATGCAATGAGAGATTGTTTTTTTGTTTCTTTTCCTTTAACAGTTTATTTGTGCACCCCCCTTACCTTTTTGTTTTGCTTGCTTTTACGCATCCTCCCCAACTTTTTCATAAATTAATGTGATAATGACTGATTAATTTGATTGTCCTGAATCAAAAGTCAGTCTCAAACTAAAATGTTTGCAAGAAAAGACAAAACAGCAAAAAAAAAAACAAACCCTGCAATTTTGTGATTGTTAAGGAAGTTAATTTATTTCTTGAATATTTTCCCCTGCGCTATTGTGGATACCTCCATATTTAATTTGTAGTAAATTTTTTTCTTTTTCTTTTTGTTAACCATTTTGCTGTTAAGTAAATTGCAGATTTAATACAAAGTTATATTAACTGTTAATTTAAATCAATGGACCTTGAAATAAACATTTGAATGAAAAACATTAAGGAATCGAATGATATTAACAATATTTGAAGTATTACTCATTACTGAAGAAATCAGTGGGGGGGGAAAAAAAAAAAATCATATATGTGAATAAAATTGCTCCTGCATGAAGATCTTTTTGATGACAGTGACATGTGCTGGGGTTTTGTCATCATTGCAGATTTTTAGTTTTTATATTTCATAACATTTAAAACTTGAGTTCTTTTCTATAACATCCAGATAACCAGTGCTGTATTACTTTAAGTCACTACCGGCCTTATTGTAACATACATCCATGCTGACTCAGTTTCTCTCTTTATAAGAATCTCAATTATGTAATTCAGGAACAACCTTACAAGGTTTTCACCTTTTTATGATCCTAGTATTAAAAGAAAGACAAATGGTAACTTGGGCTTTGCTTGTTGAGCTCATATGCCTAACTTCCCTACCTACCTAGCTATCTACCTGTATGTATATAGTTGCCATAGCTATTATCATCTCTGGAGGCTTAACTGACCCATGCCTTCTTTTCTTTGCTGCTGCTCAATCATATCTGGGCTCTGTCTATCTCTCTCTTGCACGTTATTGAAAAAAAAGATATTGGACACTTTCATGTTTTAATTTTATAGAATATAAAGAAAACAGTTGTAGATTTAAATACATTGTTGATGATTTGTGGATATGATTGTCAGTTTATAAGCCCCAGTGAATAAAATGTTAGCTGTAAATGATTCCTATTACTTTGTATTCTTGTTGCAATATTATGGGGTGGGGGGGAAATCAAGTTTAATACTAGGTGAATGGTCACATTTCCAAAGGTACAGTTTCTGTTATATTGAAATAAACTCTCAATTTAATTGACCTTTTCATAAGACATTTTTTTTTTTCAGACTGCACTGAATCTGAAAATCTTTAGAGATGCCATTACTTTTTCAGCAGAATCATTAGTTTCTGGCAATCAGATTATTTTCAGCTAGATGGATTTGGAACCATGAGGAAATACTGTTCATTTATACTTTTTTTTTTCTCTCTAATAGAAAATCCTTAAGAGTTGTATTTATTTCTAAATTTAAATAAGGCTGTTTCATACTTTATCTAATCTTCCTTTTACTTATATAAAGAAGTTTGTCAATACTTGGACATAATTGATAAAAAATACCAACAAGCTTTGTGATATCCACTTGTATATAAATCTAATCTCACAAACAATATTATGCTTGTAAATGGAAATCAGCATATTTGAGATCTGCTGTTTAGGCAACAATTTAACATGAGATTTTGAAATTACTAAAAAACAAATTAATTGAAAGAAAATAGACTTAGGAGCATTAAATTTAGCCAACAAGTCAGAAATATTTACAGCTCTTGGATGAATTAAGCCTGAACATAACTGTCCCTTTGAATAAAATAAATTTAGTTTTATCTTTAGTGAATCTAGCTGACAGGTTTTCACAATTTACAGTTGTGCAAAATGAGGCAATATTTGTTTTGTATTAAGAGAATTGCTCTTTTTCTGAAACGCACAACTCTGAATTTCTTTTATGTAATTAGTTTACAAGCATCAATCTTTAACTGCTGTATGAAAATGCCTTAACAAAAGAATTACTTCAATATGAAAATAATTTTATTTCCAGTAGAAATTAATACATTTTTTTTTTTCTTAAAAACAGATGCTGTATATTCAAAACCCTCCGACATAAATCCCATTCATCTATTTTCAGATGGCCATAGATTTCTCAGCAAGAAAAAAAAAAAATGGTTCATGTAAAAGTCCAAGAATCATGGAATTAAAAAGTATACCTTCAAAATTATACTCTCCCTCCTCCTCCTGAAAACATCTTATGACAAGAGTTTAACAACTTGGTCAGGAGTCCTTGGCACAATGCTCTGGGAGTCAGTGTAGTCATTCTTTGCATCACAGATACAATCATAAATGTGCTTATATGCATCACAAATCAGATCCACAGAAACCTTTTTCACTTTTTCCCTACAAAAGAAAGAAGGGGGGGAAAAATGTGACAGTCTTTATCAAATTTAATTATGTTTGTTTTCTGAAAAGTTCTCAGCCCTGCTCATTTCCCCCAAATCATTTCAATGAACAAACTTTTGAACACTGATTTTGAGCAGCAGGTTGGACAAGAATTTTTTCATACCCATTCATCGATTCAGGTTTACATTAAAACCATAATTTTGAAGGATATTGCCATTATTTATTTATTTTTTTTTTTTTAAAGATTGGGTTTCAGCTCTTTTGAGATTCATAACTATGCCATGAATTTTATTTTAAAAAAAGTCATTTTCTTTAATTACCTGACTGTGGCACTGAGTAGGAGGCTGCACTGAGGAAGAGTGAGGGAATCTGGAGATGCCAAATAATTGTCAAATTTACTCTGAAAAAAAAAAAAAAAAAAAAAGGTGGGGCATTGATTAGAGAAAGCCAAAAGTGAAGTTTTTTTCCTTCTTCTTGTCCTTAGCTTCTACAAAACCCAATGAAGACAACCAAAATCTTCAGTATACAATTTTAATATTTGCCAGATTCAAATTTCTTTCAAAATTTACCTTGAGGTTAATTCTTTTCATTTCAAAATTAATCTGTTAGATTTTAAGCTAGAATAATATACTAAAAGTTAATGATGCTGTTAAATTGTATATTATTGTAATTAATAACACAAAAGCCAACCATAATTAATTCAAATCAATTACTGAGAACAATTAGTTTAAATATATAGTTTCCAACACAAGGAGTCTCCCATTATTTGGGTAAATTAATGTAGAGTCACATTCTTTCGAGCACTAATTTAGTCAGTTGTTTTTTTTGAGGGGGTGGGGGGCATCTCAGCTTATTTAAGTCGAGATGATCAATGGCCTACTCAGTAACATTAGTTACTTGTGGAAATTTCTTTTTCAGTTATGTAAATTAAAATTTACTTGTAAAGAAGAAATACAAACCATTGCAGACTTTAAAGTGGCAGCATCCATACCTTGTAGGGTTGATATAGGAGCCTAAAAAAATAATATTCAAAACTAATGTTAAGTATTTTCTTTTTTTAACTAAAAACTTCACAGAAATAATATGTAAAGTTGCAGTGCCTACTTGTAAAATTACCATCATTTTTAACTAAAGCTTAAAAAGTGAACAAATCCAATTACAAGATTTTGCAAATGATTCGTTTGTGTGCAAAATAAGAGAATTTTAAGATTTTTAAAGAATGGCTTTATTATCCATTGTAAAGTCATTCTGAATTTGTAACTTTTTTTTTCCCCCTCTCTCTCTAAAAAGTCTCCCTACTCTTAAAATGTAATTTTGAAAAGGGTATTACCGATTTGTCTGTCTGCTGCTGGATTGTTGCATAAGCCTGAGTTAAATTAACTCTATTCAAGATGAAGGCTGCTTGTTCACTGACCAAAGTGTCCACTTGGGCATCAATCTACAAAAAAGAAAATGAGACTTGAAAGTATAATTGGTAATTATGGAAAATTAGAAAATGTTAAAATCATTCTTACAAATTTTGCTTATGATTTTTTTGTAATGTTTTGCCTTGACTCACATTTTTCTTTGTGTCTGACACTGCATTTGCCTACGACGACAACCTTTTTGTTCTCTCTCTTCACAAGCAACCAAAGTTATTATTTTTCCTGTATTGAATTTTTTTGCTACATGAAGCCTCTTTTTTTTTTTTTTATAAAGAATTTTCCTGGGTTTTTAGTACTCTTGTTGGAATCTTTCCTACAAAAATAAGAATACTGCTTTCTCTTCTGAAATTTGTCTCTGTATTATAAAGAAAAACTGTAAAATAAAAAATAAATTCTACCTGAGCTTGTAACATTTCCAATCTGGTGTCAGTGAATTGATAGAGAGCCAAAGCACTTTGGGTAAGGTAGATGCAGTTAACCATGTAAGCAGCCATGTCTACAGTATTTAAGCGGCTGGCCGATACAGAGCACATTTGCAAAACAGGATCAACAACACAAGACACAACCTGTTAAATAAGAAAGGAAAAAAAAACTGAATCCCTCTTATAAAAATTATATAACAACACCTTTATACCTCATGAAATTCGAGTATTGTCCTGAATATACTCCATCATATCCAAAAGAATTCTAAACTCTAAGCAATGTAAATCAAAACAATAAAGATTTTAGGCTTTAACACTAAAATTCTAATTCAATTTAACAGATTTATATTCATTTTATTTCTTTTAATTCATAAAAACCTATTCTGCTTTGGGGTTTAATTTTCTTTACTGAGAAGAATACACATGCAGTAGAAAAGTTTACCACTAATGTCAGCCTATTTCCTGGGATTTTCCTTGGTTTGAATAGAATTTCAAAGTATGAATTAAATATTTCTAAACTTTTATCTGACATTATCTTTTTAAATATTAATGTCTTTGTGTATTGAAATCAAACTAAAACAACTGCATAATTTCAATTATACTAGGATAAATCTTAAATTTAGGAAATAAGAAAAATATCCCATATGGGTTCATTCTACAGTTGACTTGGATATTTAAATTAGGATTAATCTGTTCCTGACTTGATTCCCAAAATTGTTTCTGTGAAATGAGCAATGACTGAGTATCATTTATTTCAAATTAAGATTAATAATGGGGATTAGCATTTCTTACTGTTTATAATATTAATTTTTATTAAAAAAAAAAAAAAAAAATAGAACCTGAAATGTGAAAATAAGAGAACAACAAATTCATTTCACCTGTTTGAAATCTTGCTTCTTATTGTCTAGTGGAACAACAGAAGCATCTTGACAAGCAAGAACATCCCGAAGAAGTTGCAATGATTCTTTTAACGATGATGTTGGCCCCAAGTCAGGAGGTGGGAGTTCTACCTAAAGTAAAAGAAACAGGCAAATTGTACTATTTTGTAATCTCATAACTTTTTGCTGAACAAGTGTTTATTTCATGCCAGGCCAGTGTCTTTCTTATAACTAGTGGACTGGACAATTGTGTTTGTGTATATGTGAAAACAAAGTAAAGACCAGAAATATCAATTATTTTTTTAATAATAAGCTCATAAATCGATAATGAAACTAATAATTTAGAACAGATTGCTTTTAATTAAAGAAGTTAATTTTTGAAAAATTTGCTTTTTCTTTTTACTATTCTCTATCTTTGCTATCTATTGTTATATTAATTCAGTCAAAAGGCATACACATCACATTTTGGATTTTTGTAGGAAAACATGAGAAATGTTCTGAAAGTAATGCCTCCTATTTATTTCCATAGAAGCTAAAACATATAGGGAGCAAACTAACACTATTGGATAGAGCATTACATGTAATTCCAAAAAGAATAATAAAGCACCAATTGACACTGAACTATTGAAAGTAGCATACTGTTTTCCTGAATTCAAAAACAAGTTTCTTGAAGGAAGCCTGGAATCAAACCCATCCCTAAGTGGTTGGGTATATCATGCATTAATGTACCATGGAAACACAAATGTCGGCCTCAAGATCCTCAAATATAAAGAGGTATCACAATTGGATCGATTATGGTGAAAGTAGTAATGACCATTGTATTAAGTAGGCTCTCACTCTTCTATCAAAATCAACATCTAACAACCTAATTTGGCTTTCATTCTGGTAAGAGGTGCAATGATGGAATATATGTTATCAAATAACTCCATGAAATTGCATACTTAGCAAATAAAAAAAATTGTTGACCTCACAGCAGCATGTGACTATATCAATAAAGACTTCCTTTAGAAACAGCTTTCCAAACTCCGAAGCCACTAAATGCCTTGAGAGGAACTATATTAGTCTACAAAGTTGTGCTGTAGACCCCAATACAAAAACATTTCCAGATCTATTTAATCTGTTCCTAGATTATGTTCTGTAAATATGCAAGAAGAGATGGATGCAGATCCTTTAAGCATTCTATACTGCATCCCATACAAATCTATAGAAGACAATGATCATGCTTTCCCTCCTGAGACCAAAATACTGATGATGAGGGAGGCTAAGCTTGTGACATAGGTATTCTTAGTTGGGGTAAGAATGATCTAGGAAGAAAAAAAAAAAAAAATCAACATTCTCTCCTCAGTGCTCCAAGAAATAGGACACATGATAAATGTTTCCAAAACAGAAATTATGATCTAGAATTGGAATGAAAGCAATGGTGACAACTACACTGAATCAATAAACACTTCAAATACTTCAGTCTATGGATTAGTTATAACAAATTTAGTCTAGGAAATTGAATAGAAAATAATCTGCCTTCTATCAAAAGATACCTGATCACCTAAGCAAATATCACGTATAGCACATAACTGACTGATTATCCCCAAAAAATTAATAGAAAAATTTTATAAATTTCAACCAAAAGTAGTACTGGCTGTTCAGTCGATGAATACCAAATGTTTCTTTATAAGGAAATGCCAAATAATACCATTATCATAAGTTATGCATTTTCAACCAGCAATGAACAAGTGCCTGTATGCCACTTGTAAGTAGCATTACTCCCTGCTTAACTGTGTTTACATTACTGTTTGGTCTGCAGAAACATTTGTACAAGCATCAAAAGATGCAATTTTTTTTCACATGAAGGAATTTAATGACTGCTTTATATACACTTTCATGTCACATGCCATTTTGTCAAACTGCCACTTAGCTGCTATGTGTAACTAACAAGGAAAATAAATATGTCATAGGCAGAAAGCCTCAACCTCTACTGTTGTACCATCAACGTCCGCCTTTGACGTAGGCCAATATAATAACAGTTACCCTCATATTTTTATTGGGGTTAAACTTTTTCAAGTTTTTAATGATTATTATTGAAAATTTATAATTAGTCATGTTTTCACACTAAATTTTAGTGATTAGCACAGACCTCTTCAGAGAATATTCATTTAGAGTTAGGATGTTGATATCTTTCTGGCTTTTGAGGATAGGCAGGCCATACTTGGTTACAGAGTACACAATGCCATCAAAATTTCTTCCATCATTTGTTTTTATTTTAATAACACTTACCAACTTTGATCTCGAAATTTCCAGATGAAGGCCCAATATACAAGCCAATAAGATTGCACAAGTTGTCATACTTTTGTATAAACAATGGATTTGATGAAAAATATAATATTAAAAAATTGGGCTTCAACTACCATCTACCGGGCATGCTTAAAGAGAAGCAGTAATGATTTATTGCCCACTTGGTGTTTTTTTTTTTTTTTTTTTTTTGGATGTAGCAACTTAGTTAAGTTTCCTAAACAACAAAATGAAGATGATGCTTGAATTTAAAAAAAAAAAAAAGGATAAATAAACTAAAATGATAATCTATAGAAATTGTAGATTTCAGAAATCTAGTAGTCACAACAGGTAGTTTTTGCACTTGAAGTGAAAAGAGAAACAGAAGATATTACCTATTACTGGGGTAAACAAAGTACCCCAAGAATTTTTGCTGAGGTAACTTAGTAGAGGTAGTTCCAAAATATTCACTGACTGGTACAATTTTGCGTGGGAAGCTTGTGTAAAAATTATAGAACAAAACAGTGAGAAGATATAGTTGATGAGATAAAACAAAATGCTGGGTCATAAATCATTACCACTCTTCCTAGTGCCCAGTAAATGGTAGTCACCCCCCCCCCAAATTGTAAAATTAAATCTGTAACGTGTCTTGGACGAGAGAGTAAAAAAGTATTTTATTACCTTATCTAGCAATTTACTAGCATGACAGTTAAGACTGTTGAAAAACATTTGATGGCTGAGAACTTCCATTTCTTCAACCGTTTTTGTAAGTGACTCGGATTCTCCAAGGATTTGTCTAACAAAAGAAAAGAAAAATAAACACTTCAAGAAAATGAATCCAGTTTATTTTGACGACTGTTTATAGAACCTAAGTGAGTTAACCTATTATACTGGAACATTTCCAGTGGAAATTAATACCCAGCCAAAGCAGCATTCCTTTTTTTCAAATTAAAAATTTCAATAACTGACGCTTTTAGAAAAAAAAAAATTAAATTGGATACAATTTTAGCCCCAAATTATGAAAATTATTTTTACTTCATTTCCAGTTTGAAGCAATATGTATAATGAGTTAAGTAAAAATTTAGTTTGTTTTGTTTATGGCATATCAACCTCAATGGGTTATTTAAGATTTTTATTGCTGGTGATATATATATATATATATATATATATTTGTTTGAATAAAAACAGACCACTTTAAGGTTCCATGTAATAAGTTATTTCACCACAACCCCTTTAACAGGGTTCTGGATCATAAGACTTTACTTCCAAAGGTTGAAATGAAAAATGAAAAGAAATTCACACGTTTTTGACGGACCGCATCAAGCATATGTAAAATTAACAAAGTGAGGAAGTATGGTGGGAGAGAAGATAAGATATGAGTGGGTTAGATGTACCATTTCAATTCCTTATTCTTAACCCCACTGTATATCAGCTAACGCGTATTGTCTCTAGATAAAGGTGGGTAAGGGGTGGGGAAGAGGACCGACATTAAAGGAAGCTAAAACAACCCTGATAAATTACATTTCACGAGGGCAGGTTTTATTTATATATATATATATATATATATATATATATATTTTTCCCCTTCCCCCAAAATGTATTGCTGGCAATAATTTTCTTTCAAAAATTTATTGCTGGTGCAATAATTTTTTACAAAGTATTTCTGGTATTAAAACCTATTTTTACACTTTCATAGTGTCTTGATCCCAGTTTGGGGGTTAACTATTTACCCATAGCTGGGACCCTAACAGGTGCTACCACCCCGGGTCAGGGTAAACCTCCTGATCAGAGGCCTTGCTGTTGAACGTAGTTTATCATCATACCCAGGACGGAGTAAAAATTTAAAAGCAAAGATTAACTTAGTAATGAATGGATGTGTGGTGTAATGGATATCAGCTCAGCAGAGTTCACTACATCCAGTTACACACAAATACCCTTGGGAAAAGGTATGAATTCATCCCTTCTTCCCCCCAGCTATGGGTTGAATAGTAGGACAGACTGAGTCCTATAGTGTTGATTGGCAACCAGTCTACTGTAGAAAGAAACAACAACCTACTACGAGGGAAGAAACTGCCTAGTCTGTCATGACTCAAGAAAATTGTCCAAGTGTGTGTCACATACGGCATTAAACAGACTGAGAAATGAGCTCATAAAAATGTTTATAGCAAATCTGAAGGAATCAAATCTGGATGACAAATGAGGAGTTTGTGACTTTCATAAATCTGAAAGTTATGAAATAAATTAAATTAATATTTTATTTTGTGCATGTTAAAAGGTTCTCTAAATTCAACTCTTTAACCAAGAAATAAACTAAAGACTTGATAAGTATAGAAAATAAACTCGATATTCAAATTCTTAAAATTCCTGATTAATAGAAAAACATTTTAATGAAAGAAAGTGGTTTCATACTTAACAAAAATCCTTCAAAGAAAAGGAAAAGTCACTTACCCAATAGTATTTCTGTAAAACTTAAGCAAATTATTAAGTTTATTAAGAATAACAGCGTCTTGTTCGGCAGCCAAAACTTGATCAACTCTCACCTGTAAAATATGAAATACAGAATAAAAAGTTAAGTATAATTTTAGGACTTCACTGGACTAAATTGAGGTTTATGTGACCACACATACACATCAATTTAAACAAATTTAATCCAATGAAGTCATAAAGGATGAAATGCATCACAAAAAATTTTTCCACTTTGTCATTATATATATATAAGGCTAGAATAGGGTTTCAAATCTTGAATGGCAATCTTTCTAGAGATGATATATAAATAATAATTAAATGATTGAACTTTTTGTTTTCCCCCTATTTTATAAATATTGGATTCGTTATAAAATATTCATAAAAGATTGAAATTCTTGTACATAAAAGGTAAACACCAATAGAGTTGAGACCGATTTCTAACAGCTTTTCCTTTAGCCTGAATAACCGAGGATACACAACAGAATACAGAGTCATTGCCTGGGTATATCTATCGAGGAACGTTCCAGGGCTGTCTGTAATCTGAGTTATGTTCATTGGGGCTGACGCAGGGAATTTAATGATGTTTATGATATGTTCAATGAGGTTTAAATATGGCAAGCATGTTAGAGTTAATAAAAGTTGGCTGAGTGTTCCTGGAACCAGTTTTATGTCACCTGTAAATGGTAGGCATGTCATGCTTGGAACAAACAAATAGGAAACATGCCAAGGAATAAGATCTATGTATATATGACCCACCTATCAAATGAGATGTCCAGATGTCCCACCTATCAAATGAGATGTCCCACCTATCAAATGAGATGTCCAGATGTCCCACCTATCATATGAGATGTCCAGAGATGTCCAGATGTCCCACCTATCATATGAGATGTCCAGATGTCCCACCTATCATATGAGATGTCCAGATGTCCCACCTATCATATGAGATGTCCAGATGTCCCACCTATCATAAAAAAAAAACCCAGACTTACTACTGGACTTTGCAAACTCCAACAGAACCCACCCCTGACAAACTGGATTAAAAGCTTTATATAGTCTTTTCCAAACATGAACTTGGCTTTATTTACATTATTTGGACTATTGTCCTCATCTTTCTCGCCATATTTATTACAACGTTTCGGCCGTTGTACACTCCGGCCTTCTTCAGGTGGTTGGAATGTCGAACTTAACCCTTTATTTTGTTCACTGGGGTAGTTCCATGTGCCATGTTTAATGGATGTCAGTTATCAGTTATCTCCTGTTAATTTCTCCACTGCCTCAACTGGGTATTGAACTCACACTCTTTGGGTCCTGTCACCGGATCTAACCAATGCCTTTATCCACTGTGCCATATGTCCTTGGCTGTCTGCCCAAAGCTGCAAAAGTAGCTTGTCTGACTGGTTTGGTTTTGTTTTATGGTATGTCAACCTCAATATGTTATTTAATGCCGACAAAATTTTTATTGTATTTTTTTTTTTTTCAAAAATCTATTTCTGGTAATATTTTTTTCCTTCAAAAAATTTATTTCCGGTAACATTTTTCTTTCAAATATGCATCGCTGGTAGTTTTTTTTTTTTCCAAAATGCATTGCTGGTAATAATTTTTTTTACAAAGTATTTCTGGTATTAAAACCTATTTTTACACTTTCATGGTGTTTTGACCCCAGTTTAGGGGTTAACTGTTTGCCCATAGCTGGGACCCTAACAGGTGCTACCACCCTGGGTCAGGGGGGACCTGGGAACACCAGCAATTAAGAGGTAGTTCCACACTCCTCAAAACCTCCCGATCAGAGGCCTTGCTGTTGGATGTAGTTTATCATCTTAGCCAGGACATGGATGTAGTTTATCGTCATACCAAAGACGGAGCTTGTCTGACTGGGCAACATATCACCAGTTCAAAGGTGACATTCCCCAGCCCGAATGAAGCATAGTAAAGGATGATATGGTGGCAATGATGGTACACTTGCTGGTCAATAACTACAAAACCCATAAAATACAATGAATGCTGTCTGGAATATTCATTGACATTTGGGCAGCACTAGTAGTAAATAAGGATGTAATTTGATGCAGTGTTTTCCTTGTCAGGTGATTCATGTCAGTTCCAGCAATTACGTTCTTGCATCACCTGCAAGTAACTAGGTTTTATGTACCGATAATATCTGTCCAGAAATTTGCATATTTCTAGTAAACTCCTGTTATAAAAATAAAAGTATAAACATTTTGAAGTCATAATTGTTCTGCAGTCAAACAGTGTTGAATGCTGTACATGTTTGATACTTGCTACAGCTACACTACCTCTTTACCTATTACCTCACATATAGAGCATCCATCATAGCCCATTTCTATAAGTGGGAGGAGGCAAAAGCCATCCATCGTATCTTCCTTTAATTTTCTAGTACTTCAGTTTACTTATCAGTTTTAAGTATAAATCAATGTGTAAATAAAGAAAAAATGTCATTATTTGATATAAATCTAAAATTGCACATTTTTTCAATCTGAATTCAAAGTCTTTTAATGAAATAAATATGGTTTCCATATAAATGCCAAGCCTACATATGATTATATATTCATGTGCTACGTAATATGCATGGTATATGAAAAGTTTCAGTCTCACACATTTAAAGTCGATATGAAAACAAGCCTGTATATAGTTAATTACATCTTATAGCCATTAATGAAAATGCTTACTTTGAAAGGACGACAAACTCCTTCACAAATGTGTCCTAAAATGCTCTCAATCAGTGCATCTTCATCTGAAAAAAATCAAATTTAAAATTTTATTAATTGACAACAATGAACCGCATAATTTATTTCCAGTTTACTTCCTAAAGCAATCCTTATTTTTAGCAAATATTTCCAAATTAAAACATTGTCTTTGTGGCTCAAATTTTTAAAAATTCCACTTGCTTCTGCATTGGTGATTCCACAAGGCATAAAGCAGGATTTTCTTCAAGGGCTGCTTCAAGAAGCTTTTCATCAAACTCAACTGGACGTCCGGTTCGATTTTCATCTTCAAGGGTGAAATCTCCACCTCTGAATTTTGCAAACCATCTTCTGCAAGTTCTTTCATTCACACATTCCTCTCCATAAACTGAGTGAATGTTTCTAGCCGCTTCGGCTGCTGAGTTTCCTTTCTTGAACTCATAAAGCATTATGTGCCTCAAATAATTCTTGGGTACTTCCATGTGAGCAGGGTTTTAATCAAACAAAATTTAATTTTATTGTTCTCCGAAATAAAATTTGATCAGTTTAAATGCATCTAAACATAAAAATAATGTTCAGCTCCATTAGACATTATAAAATACTCTTTAAATTTTGTTCATTTTAAAAAGTTAAAATTCAGACAGAACTTATGAGATGACCTGATTATAAAGAGTGGTTATAATTTAATCAAAATAAAGATGACAACAAGAAAGCTTTATTTAAAAAAAAAAAAAAAAAAAATATATATATATATATATTTAATGGAAAAATATAGAACATCTGTTATTCACAAGTTGTGTTTTTTTTTTTATCCATAAACACCTTACTTACTTTTGGGAATTGAACAGTGTTGAAAATAAATTGCAAATTTGTATGGATTGAAAATGGGTTTTTTTTTTCTATTTTTTACCAGACTATTTTTTTTTTTAAAGTAAAATTTTTTGATACTTATCTTTAGATTAAATTGAATAAAATTTGGTTCAAATTGTAACTACTTTTTTTACTTGCTTCTTATTTTAAAAACGGTTTAGCTAAAACAATTTATATAAAATTAGTTTCATTTTTCAGTAAGAATGCTAAATATATAACCCCCCCCCCAAAAAAAAGAAAGATATCTCCAGACTTGGATATTGGAAAGAGAAAAAACTATCCTCATATATTAAATAGAGGTCAAGTGTAACAGCAGCTGGAAATAAGAACATTTGGTTCAAGGCTCCAAATTCTAGATTCTGGCAACTGGTATAAGCTGAGAATTTGAGCATCTTGAGTTGAAACAAATTCTGGATGTTGATTCTTTTTCTAACTCCCTAACTTATTATCTTGAAAATGGCCAATACCTTTTAAAATGCTTACACCTTATCTTTTGGAAACCACTTTTAGAAACACTACCCTAAAACTTATAAGCTTAATGATTTCTCCAAAACCCCATGAGCCGAAATCCAAATAACAGAAGAACTGCTACATTGTGTTGATAGACAATACTTAAAAATAAATTTCATTAAAAAAAAATATCAAAACAAATAAAAGCCTATTAAACTCACATTTGCACATTTTAATTAATGTCTGAAGATGTTCTTTCTCAGAAGCAGCAGCTTGATGTAACCAGGCCAACATATCACCAACATAGCGCAGAGGATCATGGGAATGCAATTCAATTGGTCGAGGAGTTCCACCAGGACCTTAAATTGAAAGAGAAACACTTTATTTTATTCATGATTGTTAAGATGCTTTTTAAATAACTTATGAGAATTTATATTAATGCACATATTTTGTATAGAATGAAAAAGAAATAAGATTAATCACTGACATTAACAGATTTAGATAGAAAAATCCTGTAACTAACCTCCTCTTGTCAAAGCATCAATCAATCCTCGAACTACAGCTGTGCGCCGAGCTGTGCCAAATTCATCAAGTGAATACCTGCAAGTAAAAAGAGGAGATCTCCATAAATTAATGCAGATTCTTTTTTTTCTTCTTTTTAATAGTTTCTACAATGTCTACAATAAAATTGGGAAATTTATGTGTGCAACAAAAAAAAAAAAAAATTCCTAAAATACTTGGAGTTAAAAAACAAATTATAAGTGTAAAAATTCAGTACATCAAAAAAAAAAAAAGCCATAATTAGTAGTGAGAATCAAATCAGCCAGGGTTGTCCTTGTACGAAAAGAAAAGGATGGAATGAATTAAAAATACTAGACAGAGAAAAACATTGGCAAGTCAGATATCTGAAAGAATCAGTGCATGTGCTAAGATATGAGGGCCACCTCAGTAGGCCTAGCATAAAAATAAATACCAGTTTGGAGCCATTAATAAAGAGAAACAACAGTAGGACTTCAGCAGCAGTAAGAAAAGAGAAACTGTGGCAAAGGAGGTCAAGTGTAACAGCAGCTGGCAATAAGATCTTTAGGTTCAAGGCTCCAAGTTCTAGGTTCAGAATTGTTCCACAGGAAAATAACTTAGTATTGATTCAAGAATTTGGTAGTATAGTAATTGTGAGTTCAATCTGGACAGTACAGATTCAGACTCTGAAAACAATGAGCAATAATCGAGCAATACTATAAAAAAAAAAAATTGTAGATTGGAAATAAAAAAATTATCCTCATAGATTACTGCATTTGATGGCATATAAGGCACGCTTTTTTTTTTTACTAAAAATATCTTTTAAAATTTCCCTACGTCTTATATGCTATATGTAGGTTTACTAATTTTACTAATTACAAATTTTTTGTCTATATTTCTGAGATGAGGTATTATGTACACTATTTACATTATTCGGACTATTGTCCTAATCTTTGTTGCCATATTTATCCAATCCTTCAGTATCTGTCTATATTTCTGAGATGAGATATTATGTACACTATTTACATTATTTGGACTATTGTCCTCATCTTTGTCGCCATATTTATTACATTTCCGGCCTTTTTCAGGTGGTTGAAATGTCAAACTGAACCCTTTATTTCACTCACTGGGGTAAACTGTTCTAGTTCCACATGCCATGTCTAATGGATGTCAGTTATCTTCTGTTAATTCCACTCTGAAAGTTCTCCACTGCCTTAACCAGGTATTGAACTCACACTCTTTGGGTCCTGTCACTGGATCTAACTAACGCCTTTATCCACTGTGCTATGTGTCCTCAACACATGGCACAGTGGTTAAGGCAGTTAAGGCTTGATAAACATGGCGACAAAGATTAGGACAATAGTCCGAATAATGTAAATAATGTACTAATTTTTTCTTGATTTGCCCTACTGAAGTTGGGGTTCATCTTTATACACCCATGTGTCTTATGTTGTCAAATACGATAAATAAATTGTTTAATATGGTTCAGTTTGAAATTCCTTGAAGAGTTCCTGAAGGTACAATGGCTGAAACATGACAACAACAAAAATGACAACATGAATACATTAGTGATCATAGTTACAAAATTTATGGTAACATGATGCTTCTTCACTCTGATACCCCACTCCCCATTTGAACCACTCTTGACGTTTTGATGGTGGGACCTCTATGCTCCCACATTTGGATGCATCAATTTGTTCCCTCTACCAAGATGTCACACAACACTTAAATATTACAGTCATCTCAATAACTGACGACTGGCTAGAAATATTGATTGTTCATTTGTTTTACCATCATATCAATCTTTGTGAATCATTTAATGTTGAAATTTATTAATTTTTATTCAGGAATGTTTCAAAATATTTTGAGTGATTGTTAGGTTTAAAAGTGTTTCCAAAAGATCACAGGTTGTATAGTTCAAGATGTTTCAAAATGTCTCAAGCCCAGTTACAAAGAAAAAACTGATATATGAGGAGGTGCTGAAAAGTCTTCAGTCCAAATAATCAAACATCAAATTTTTGGTCAGATTGAGAGCTTTTTAATAACTCCTTGTACACATTTTAATGCTAGTGAATTTCTTTATTCACATCGTGAAACTTTTCTTTAGAGAGAAATGCCAGCTGAACTCTCTTTTCTTGAACACTATTAAGTAATAATGTCTTTATTCAGACATTTTCAGATTCTGGTTGAGAAACAAATAGTTTTACCCCATATCACATCCAATTACATTCAGGCAATCTTATCTCATTTTAAGGCAGAAATGACATCAACTGTCAGCCTTGTTTAAAAATTCAGTTGCACTAGAACTGTCATTACCCAATGATAACTAATATTAGCTGTTTCCTTATAAGGAAACATTTGGCATTCATTGACTGAGCAGCCAGTGCTACTTTTGGTTGAAATTTATAAAATCTTTCTCTTAAAACCATTTTTCATAAAAATGTTTCTCAAGTCCACTGTTATCACTCTTTCCAGTACTGATGGAGGTTTCTTTCCTAACCTTTTATTTGAAGTAGTGTGGAAGGTCAACATCTTGATTATATCATCATTTTCTCTTCAAATTACATATGCTATCCATTTTAGTTGTTGCACTTATTGAAAGTCCTCAAGTGATGTGGTTTCTGTTATTTGGCACAGTTCTTTGTTTTTGATTCTGTAGTGCCAGTCTACAAGGTTCGAAGAAGGATGGTCCTTGCTAAGACCTACAGGCTTCATTCACTTGAAGCCAATTTTAATTATTGATTTGAGAAGGCGGTTGTATACTGTTGACAGTTTAGATATTCCTAAACAAGTTAGGTGTCGTGCTTGATATCCATACAAATATAACCTCAATCTGATTCAAGAATTGGACTCTCACTTAATAATGTATTAATTTCTTAGTATTTCCTTTATTTTGGGCAGAATGTTTCCTGCCCAACTTCCTAACAGCTTTGCTTGATTTATTTTGTCCCCACTTTAATTATCCAAATTCTTTTCTTTTTTTATCCCTTGTTCAACCTTTGGTTCTAAACAAGACTGGATCTATTTATTTTATTTTGGTTTTATTTTCAACCAAGTTCTTACAATTTCAAAATAACAATCAGATAAGTCTTTATCTCTAAGTTTCTGTTTTTGTTTAGATATAGCATTTCTTTAGGCCAAAGTCTTACTTAAATAATTTACTTCCCAGAGATGTAAATGATTTTTTTTACTGCTAACTTGTAAAATCTTAGCTAGTACAAATCAATAGTTCTACATTCACTTCAAGTAGCACCAAGTATGTCTTGTGTTACCATAACAATGGATTTTCTTTTTTATCCAGTAGTGACACATGTTGCAAAATATTACCCGACAGGTGAGTCTCTTGTTATAGACATAGAAACAAGCAGGAAAATCCACATTGTTCACTATACACAAATCTCTCGATTAGCACAGATAATGTGTACATTAAGATACACACTAATCAAAAATGAATTAATCAAAATATAAACAAAATAATTACCCATTTTCCATTTTTAAATTTTAGAAAGTTTTTAATCAGTAACTACAAAAAAATCAATTTTCACTTACTATAGTTAAACTGAAGAATGTTTTACCACACTAATCAAGTATTATGCATTGACTAATTGAATTTTGGTATTAAAAAATTACAGCGTACTAATCAAAAACACATTAAGGGATTCCTTTATTACATATAATTTGACCTTTGATATAAAAGGAGCAGAGTATGAGTGTGTGTGTATATATATATATATATATATATATATGTGTATGTGTGTGTGTAGTAAGCAGCAAATAAAATAAAATTATTTATTGCTCTTAATTTTATTTGTTTACTATTAATATTCTATCTCTTAATATTGAGCACTTTTTTTCCAAAAACTGCTCGCCTTAAAGATGTTATCCTCCTGAAATACACTGGTTGGCCCTTTTTTTTTTCTTCACAGAACACAATCTTTGTTATTATATGCTTATATAATAATGAAAATTTCATACATAATCTAGAATATAATGCAGCTTATTTTCTAGTGTCACTGGATACTCCATTATAGTGGCCTTGTAGCAGACTAGCTTTTGAGCCTGACCTCTGGCTGGAATTGTTGCATATTTTCCAGTATCTGAGCACAAATAAATGTTAAAATTTCAAATGCTGACTTTCTAAGCAGGTATCCTCCTACCCAGCCTTCACTTGGAAGGTAAATGGCACACAATCTTATTTGTCAATTTGCCATAAGGTCGGTTTAGTAAACATAATTCACCTCATCAGAGTGGATCATTGTTAAATTATTAAGACATTAGTTATTATTAAATATTAGAAAAAATTCACTTTAAAAAAACATTAATATGAAATAAGCCATGTTTAAAGAAAAAAAATACAAACTTCATTGAAAATCTCACTGGGTGACTTGTTTACACTTAAAAAAGAATTTCACCAATGTTTCTATTCTACTTTTAAAGAATTAATCTTTAATAAGTAATGCTAATCAATGCCAAATATTTTTATACAAACTTCAAACAGAAGTTACAGTGAATTAACAACAGAGATTGAAATTAATACTCAAAACCAACAGGTCTACATATTGTCTTGATGATAAAAACACTCACTCAAATTCCACCAATTCATACACTGTATGGAAAGGGAGCTCTTCAAAATGTTCCTCTAAAAGAGGAAAACAAAAACCATGAAGCATATTGCAGTAAACCCTTGACTTAACAGATACTGTTTTATTATGGAACTGAGATAGAGCCTGGATCAATACTTTTGTGTGTTAATCAAAGGTTTAAATCTTTCTTTTATAATAACCACTAATTTTTATTTAATTATGTCTAAAATAAGTCTTGTTAATGAGAACATGGGTCTTTTAGATATGATTTTGTGACACTGTGAAAAATATTAATCATTTCATTCCATTAGCAAAAATGTGAGTAAATACTACATATTCTTTATAACTGAATAATTTTGTATTGTACAGCAAAATGTATTAAAAGGATGTGTGGGTAGTGTAATAGCTATCAGCATGAAAACTGGAATCAACAACCAAAGTTCAAATTCCAGGCTAGTCTGTTGCATTCACTTTTGTACTATTGCCCTTGGGAAAGGCATGAATCCATTTCTTCACCCACCAGTTGTTGGGTTAAATAGCAGGGTAGCCTTGAATGGCAACCAGGAAAACTCTGAATTCAGGCTACAGAGAAGGCAATTGAAAACCATTCTACTATCTTTCCCAAGAAGCCATGGCAATTTACAGATAATAAAGAAACGGAATCTGTGGAGAGTCATGGTCACCTACGAATTGAAGTGTTTTGGATGAGCTCTTTGCTATGGCACCTAGACTATGGATTTAAAGGCAATTCTAGACTGGTGGCGAGATTTCATCAATTTATGCTCGAGTTGGCTAGATGTAACTGTAAATTCTATGCTAACAGTTTCAAATCTCACACTTCTGGCTTGTGGAACTCCTTCCTGATGCCAATGCTTTCTAGCCAACTTTAATTTGCAAAAATTTAAATGCAAAATCAATTACTGTCTACTGTCTCCTGATTACTCTTTTTCTCTTCCTGCTCATTATTAATGTTTCTGTTCATAATACTTTCATACCCTGTAACTCCTTGTGTTTTAGTGGCATTCCTACCTTGCATGGGGGTAATATTGGTTAAAAAAAAAAAAAAAAAAAAAATGACATTAAAAAAAATTAAATGGTAACAATATGGCCTCTAATGTTATATTTGAATTTAATAGGTTTTTGGTATTAACAGACACTTCTCTATTAGTTTTTTCAACCAAAGGTTCATTGTATTATTAATTTTAAAAATTGTTTATAATGCTTTATAAAAAAAAAAAAAAAAAAAAAGATACAATCCATGTCAACACAAAAAGTAACCATCCATTATTTTAGCCAGATTAATTTTGCTGAAAGAAGAAAAAAAGTATTATAACTCACTTGAACAACACGGGTCGATCTTGCAGTGCTTCCATTGCCATACATAACAAGGGGAAAATATCAGGAGAATCTCCTGTCAGAGTTCGGCATTCACCTGAAAATATACCATGAAGAAAAATTAGGCAATGTTTAACTTTCATTCTTGCAAAAAAAAAAAAAAAAAAAACATTTAATATACACTTTTGAATCCCCAGCAATGTTTATTTACAAGATTATAAAAATATGTGGACCAAGTTCAATGCAATATACATTATTTATTTTAAGACATTTTTTATGTTTATACGTTCTTTTTATAATTATATAATATATAAATATATTATATTTATATATAATATATAAATATATTATATATAAATATAATATATTATTTACCTTTAAAACTAGACACCACCAATAGTGCTTCTAACAACAACACAAAATTCATAATCCTGCCCAGTAACATTCTTTCTACAAAACTTGTAAATAAATTAGTTATCCCTAATACCACCACGTCCAAGTTTGCTGGTTCTAAATCTGTAGACAGGCTTTTTCTAGCACATGCATTATGTACTATTTACAAGTGGGTACTGGGATATGATGATTCATAGATTTTTTTTATATACCAGAACAATGTTTAAAAAAAATTTTAATTTAAAAAGATTAAAATTTCAGCATCCCCTCCCCTTTGTATGCATGTGTAGTTATATCAACAGAAACATCAATAGTCCGATGAAGTCTCAACAAATGAAACATGTCACAGAAAAAAATATTTCCACTTTGTTGTTAATTTTCCAAACAAATTGGTACTGAAAAGTTCTTGACCTGACTAAAATGTATTCCATGAGAAAAAAATGTGTGATCAAAATTTGCTTTATCAGCAAGACAATATGCAGACCTGCTGGTTTTGAGCGCATATATATGTTACTAATATACTACTAATACAATGTCTATATTTCTGAGATGAGGTATTATGTACATTATTTACATTATTCAGACTATTGTCCTCATCTTTGTCACCATATTTATTACAACGTTTCAGCCATTGTATGCTCTGGCCTTCTTCAGGTGGTTGGAATGTCGAACTGAACCCTTTATTTTGCTCAATGGGGTAGACTGTTCTAGTTCTAGTCCCTAAGGACACATGGCACAGTGGTTAGATCCAGTGACAGGACCCAAAGAGTGTGAGTTCAATACCTGGTTAAGGCAGTGGAGAACTTTCAGAGGGAAATTAACAGGAGATAACTGATAACTGACATCCATTAAACATGGCACGTGGCACTAGAACAGTCTACCCCATTGAGTGAAATAAAGCGTTCAGTTCGACATTCCAACCACCTGAAGAAAGCTGGAGCGTACAACGGCCGAAACATTGTAATAAACATGGCGACAAAGATGAGGACAATAGCCCGAATAATGTAAATAATGTACTAATACAATATTTACCTTAGACATAAATATGCTATGAAGATATTTCAAAAACCTGACATGTTAAGAGAATTCTGATTCAGAATCAACCTTAATTTCATTTTGTACAGAGCATCATTTGTCGGGACAAAAGACAAAATTTTATTTTCTTTCTTGTAGTAGAATGTTACTTCAAAAAATGTTTATTTGTACAAAAGCTAAAATATGAATCATCAATTAGAATTATTTTTTTTAATTTAGATTACAACCCTAAGAGGCTGTAAAAAACTACAACCCGTCTGGTATTAATGAATAGCATGCAGATCCTACTTTGTGGTTGAGATAGTTGCATATTTCAGTGTTTCAAGCCCAGGTTAAAAAAAATAAATTTGGATGCCAATTTTCAAAGCCTCACTGAAAGAATTGTCTCAACACACATTTCCTATAAATTATCAGCAAAGTTTAAGAAATAACAAAATCCAGCTCAATTATTCCTTAAAAAAAAAAAAAAAAAAAAAAAAAAAAAAACCAATTTTATCAAGTTACTGATCAGATTTCAAGGAGAAAGGGTGAATATTTCATGCAAAATGATACCAACTTATATAAAAGTAAATTTATTTTATTTGCATATTTTGTATGGTATTGAATATAAATTTAATTAGATATTTTTGTTTAATGTATTTATTTGGAAAACAATTTTAAATGTTTACACTTATTACTGATAAATTATGATAAAATCTTTTTACCTCTTATGAATTTTGAAAAACAAAAAAAGTTAACTTTAGCTTCTGTAAAAATGAACAGAAATCAACTCATTTCTCAAATGTCTACCCAAATTGTGAATCTGTTAACAAACTTTCTGATTTATCAACCTAAAAAATAAAAATGTCTCACTCTGTGTCCAACGATAAAGTCTCTCATAGGCTGATTCTTGTTGAAGAGCCATTGATTCCATAATCTCCAACCTAAATCAAAATAAGTAAATAAAAAGAGGCATTTATTTCAGTTTATATATGTTCTTCATCAAAGAGCAAAAATGGTTTCTCTTTGGTTATTTGAAGCCATGTTTTTATGTCTCTGCAACATTTATTGGGTTTAAAACCAAAAATCAATTTTATATGACATTAAAGCCCAACTAATTTTAGTTTTATTTAAAGAAAATTTGTAAATGGTTTCTGTTCTAAATTTATGAAAATTTAAGCGTAAATTTATGCAATTACTCCTTTCACTTCTTATTCTGAATTATTTTGTCAATTTTTTTTTTAATATTTTGTGATTATACAAAGTTAACTCATCTACAAATTAACTTTTAAAATTGGGTCTTGAATGGCTTATATTTCTTCTGTACCAAGTTAAAAATAAATCTATCCATCCATTTTATACAAATGGCAATAACATTCTTTATATCTTTCATACAGTGATGACCATTTGGTTGGTTGCTCTGTTTTACAGCTTATAAACCTCTTGTGTGTCATTTAAAGCTGAAACAGTCTTAAATTGCATAAAATTTAAATTGTATTCAGTTGAAGATTTTTTTGTAGACAATCATATGGTATCAACTATTGATTCTTCCACATGGTATGAACTATTTTGGTTGGTTTAGATACCAGTGTTTCTAATTGTTATGTTTATATTTATTGGTATAAACCCACTCTTTCAAGAAATGATATTATATCGTCCATCTTTGCTCTTTCAAAGAGCTCCTTTATGTTGTTTATATTGAAGTATATTTTCCTAGATGGAACAAGAGCTGTACACTCAGTCAAAATGTTTTATAGTGTATGCAGTTTGGTATTTTGGGCATATTGCTTGTTATTCCCCTTTCAACAAGTATGAGTGTAATTCTTGTGTGACCAATTGCAGTTACTAAATTTTGGTTGATTATGTTGTTTCATTATTGCTTGGTTCTATTTCTCCACATCTTACACATATTGGTTGTCTTGTACAATACTCCTTTAGATAGCCATATTCCTTTAGATGGCCATATCTTTGACATTTGTGACGTCTTCTTGGATTTGATATATATTTATCTACTTTGGCTGTTAAAGAGCCAAACTTTAATTTCAGCTGGTGGTTTATGTGTATTGAAAGTTTATATATATATATATATATATATATGTGTGTGTGTGTGTTTGTATTTATTATCTGGTTTTGTTTTTTTAATTGTTAGCCATTTGACATCAATTACATTTTGGTTTCTTAACTCAGGTTTTATCTCTTCCATGGTACAAGAAGATAGATCTCCATTATGTACTACACCACACCTCTGGAGGGGGTTTAGTCTTTTATGTGGTTATTATTTTACACTAATCTTATAGAATTTTTTAATCTTTAACAGTATGCTTGCATGTTTTTTATTTAGTATTTCTACCAAAATGATTGTATTTTTAAGTTTTTCACTGACTTAGGATTTACCATTGAGTATATAACCCTCTATACTAGGAATGATGATTATATAGTTAGTGGGGCCTCCTCTCTAGATTCTAATATTATGAATTGAGGAAAGTGTACCTCAGCCTGCTCTTGATCAGAATCTGACTCCATAGAGTCTTTTTGCATGTTTTTTTTTTCTCTGTATCCATATAATGTTTCACCGACTATGCACCACACCCACCATGGGTCTCTATAAGGGAGAAAGCCCATTCACCTTGGCAAATCAGAGATACACAATCAATATACTTGCTCCATGATGAGACAATAATTGTTTAACTTCCTAAGTCTCAGTTCTCAAGTTAACTTCTTGTTCAAATATAATTTGAAGCGATAGTTCCTTCCTAGCATGACTGACCCTACAGCCACCACCTTCTGATTCAACTTTTTCCAAAGTGTTTAGGTATCTTAGCATGACCAGCTGGTTTATGGGATTGGGTCTCTCCAAATGTTCAGGTAAGGGTCAATATGATGTGTTGGGGTCCCTCCTCCTGAATCACCAAGATCTCATCCCCAGGCTTCACAGGTTGCCACAGGTGACCTCACTACTTGACCTCTCCACAGAGTTACAGTTGGCATATTCTGAAGCCACAACTAACAGGGCTAACAACCATTTGGTCATTTTAGTCTATGTGGGGGATATGTTAAGGCAAGGTGAATTTTATTTCAGTTCATAGAAATTATTTTTAGTGAATTTCCAACATAAATGTTTATGGTTTATACAACAGGTAAGAGAAAATAATCTGCAATGATACAAGAAAAAAAAACAAGATATCTGAAAGAAAAAAAAAAGTCTGTTATATACAGTGTAACCCGGATATAAGAGACTTTTTCTCCGGTCCCGACAACTCTCTTATATCCGGGTTACACTCAGTCAAAATGTTTTATAGTGTATGCAGTTTGGTATTTTGGGCATATTGTTTGTTATTCCCCTTTCAATAAGTATGAGTGTGTAATTCTTGTGTGACCAATTGCAGTTACTAAATATATACAATGAGGTCTTCTCTGGTCCCGACAACTCTCTTATATCCGGGTTTCGTTTATTTATATACATTAACACAGGCTCTAATTTGGGACCAGAGAAAATCTCTCTTATATCCGGGTTATACTGTATAACTTTCAATAAATTCTTGAAAGTAAACATCTCATCAAAATGGATGTGTTAACACCACATAATCTATATACGTTTTGAGAATATATTTTTCTAACAAATAATTAAAATTCACAAAAAAACAATCTTTTTTGTACAAACTATGGACTTTTCTACTTTTAAACTATTTCATAAAAAAAAAAAAGACAACTAATTCATTAGCAGAATTTTTAATGCTTTCTCATCGAATGCAATGTCTTTGCAATTTTTTTTTTTTTTTTTTTTTTTGTCAAATCATAAAGTGTTCAGTATTAAGAAGTTAAAGAAATGCCAGAGCTTCCTTACCCAGCAGTTTGTTGGTTGGTTCTTAATAAAACTTTACAATCTGCATGAATCTGTTTAACTCTGGAGAGTACTTTGAAAAAATCCTGGATTAGAAACAGAATAAAAAGTTACAGGTAATTTAAATTGCATGTGAAATAATTTTGATTATTTTTTTTAATTTGAAAAAAAAATTATCCAAATGAAGTTTAACATTAAAATCAAATTTACAATAGTCACCAAAACAATAAAACAGCTCATGTATTCAAAGTAAACTGCTGAAATAATACATTTAATTAAAAAGTAGGCAATCTTAACTTCATGCCCACAAAAAAAAAAAATAAAATAAATAAATAAAAAAAAAAATAGTGTGCCAAAAACATGTTTTTTCCCTTCACACAGTTATAATTTTAACTAACCTCACTGCTTGGCAATTTTGTTTGAAAAAGCAATGATTAGAAGTTTAATAAAACCTAAACATATAATGAAAGGGAACTTATACATTTGCTTTTTGTCCTTGAAAATTTACAATAAAACTATTAATTACTATTTATTTACAAGAATAATTTTAGATTTACAACATTCTAAAACCTAATATAATTAAAACTAATGCAATGCAATATTTATCACTTACCAATTTATAAAGAAATAAATATGAAAAAAAAATTTTATTTATAAATTCATAAACATTTACTAAATTAAAATATGAACCAACAATAAAGAAATCCTTCTAATTTACCATTTTATAAAGTTTGAATCAATTGGCAATTATCCAATATTTGGCCAACTATTCCAATAAAGTATGTAAAAGAATCAAATAAATAAACAATGTTTATTATTTTTGTTGTGAATTCTCAAGAACAAAGTAAATTTATAAATTCACTTTCATATGTTTAGGTTTTATTACAATTCTAATTATCACATTTTTAAGGCAATAAACATTGTCAAAGATTGAAGGTAGTTAAAATAATAGCAGTGTCAAAGGAAAAACTGTCCTTTGGACTGACCATTTTTTTTGAGGGCACAAAGGTTAAAGATTGCCAAAAAGTATTTGTTTTAAATTAAATAGATAAATAGAAAATAATGAAGGTCTAAGTATTACCTACAGTATTTAACAATTACATATTTAAATGCTAGATAGATAGATATGAATAGAATTAATATCTACAGTACTTAACAATTACATATTTAATTGCTAGATAGATATGAATAGAATTAATATCTATAGTATTTAACAATTACATGTTAGTTTCTAAATATAAAATTGAAATTTTATATTTCAATAATTGATTTTGATTTCCATTTCTGTGCCAATTATGAAAACAAATGCCTTACAACCAAAAGTCTCACAATCAATTAGGAGCACAACATGTACTGCAGCTGCAGAAACATCAGGCGCATCTAAAGCAAGATAGCTCATCCCTCTTCATGCTGGTTTTATATTCAGAGTTTTCCTTCTCTTAGACTGGTTGCCCTAACAAAGCAAGAGAGCCTAGTTTGCTCTGCTATTTAACCAATAGATAAAGGAAGATGAATTCTTGCCTTTTCCAAGTGTATTAGTGCAAAGTGAATGAAACAGAATTGGACAGAATTTGAACTTGGCTCAGCAATTCCACTTTCTGTGCCAATCACCATTACGTTAGTCACACATCCACTTTCATCTTACAAGATTTTGTATGAAAAACAAAAAAGATGTTATTTTCCATCATTTGTTAAACAAAATTTGATGGCATTTCAAAAAGAAATCAAATTTTTATGGACTAAGAATCAAACCTTACTTTATGAAGACCAGTACTTTTAGAGCCACGTAAAATTTTACATTCTTCTGGTTTCAGCTGAAATTTATCCAAGAAGGCATCAGCAACTTGTGCTTTCATTTGAAGTTTTTGACTATAAATTAAAAAAAAAAAAACATTAAAATAATAAATTTAGTAGTCACAATTTAGTAAATTTACTCCTGAAATTCAAGTTTATGCAAAAGAATTAATTTTGTTGCAGTTTGTCTTATTTTATGTTCAACCAGATAATGAATAATATTATAATTTTGTTCTTGTTGTTTATGGTTTATTTTGTTTTACAGCATATTAACCTCAATGGGTTATTTAATGCTGACAAGATTTTGGGGATAGGTTCATATGAACAGAATATGTATTCTTTGTAAGAAATCAGTTTGCTTTGGTTTATTTTGTTTTACAGCATATTAACCTCAATGGGTTATTTAATGCTGACAAGATTTTGGGGATAGGTTCATATGAACAGAATATGTATTCTTTGTAAGAAATCAGTTAGCTTTGGTTTGTTTTACGGCATATCAACCTCAATGGGTTATTTAATGCTGACAAGATTTTGGGGATAGGTTCATATGAACAGAATATGTATTCTTTGTAAGAAATCAGTTTGCTTTGGTTTATTTTGTTTTACAGCATATTAACCTCAATGGGTTATTTAATGCTGACAAGATTTTGGGGATAGGTTCATATGAACAGAATATGTATTCTTTGTAAGAAATCAGTTAGCTTTGGTTTGTTTCTGGCATATCAACCTCAATGGGTTATTTAATGCTGACAAGATTTTGGGGATAGGTTCATATGAACAGAATATGTATTCTTTGTAAGAAATCAGTTTGTTTTTGGTTTATTTTTTTGCATATAACCTCAATGGGTTATTTAATTGACAAGATTTTAGGGATATATAACAGAATATGTATTCTTTGTAAGAAATCAAGCTTTGGGGTTATCAATGGGTTATTTAATGCTGACAAGATTTTGGGGATAGGTTCATATGAACAGAATATGTATTCTTTTGTAAGAAATCAGTTTGCTTTGGTTTATTTTGTTTTACAGCATATTAACCTCAATGGGTTATTTAATGCTGACAAGATTTTGGGGATAGGTTCATATGAACAGAATATGTATTCTTTGTAAGAAATCAGTTTGCTTTGGTTTATTTTGTTTTACAGCATATTAACCTCAATGGGTTATTTAATGCTGACAAGATTTTGGGGATAGGTTCATATGAACAGAATATGTATTCTTTGTAAGAAATCAGTTTGTTTTTGGTTTATTTTGTTTTACAGCATATTAACCTCAATGGGTTATTTAATGCTGACAAGATTTTGGGGATAGGTTCATATGAACAGAATATGTATTCTTTGTAAGAAATCAGTTTGCTTTGGTTTATTTTTGTTTTACAGCATATTAACCTCAATGGGTTATTTAATGCTGACAAGATTTTGGGGATAGGTTCATATGAACAGAATATGTATTCTTTGTAAGAAATCAGTTTGCTTTTGGTTTATTTTGTTTTACAGCATATTAACCTCAATGGGTTATTTAATGCTGACAAGATTTTTTTTAGAACAGATAGGTTCAGTTTGTTTTGTTTATTTTGTTTTTTAATTTAACCTCAATGGGTTATTTAATGCTGACAAGATTTTTAGGATAGGTTCATGTTGTTATTTAATTTCCTTAGTCGAGTTAACAAATAGCAGTCACACGAAATCTCACATCTGCTCGCTTCTACTTCCAACTTGTTCTGTTTCAAAATGGCCGATCCCCAAATGCTCAATCTCGTACATGCACCTTGGACCTATTATAATTGACAGTTCAGCAGGCCAGACACATCAGGTGTTTTGGATCTGGTAAGTGCAAATATATATCATTACACTCCCACTAATCATATGATCATACATATGACAGTAGGGGGCTAGTTGTTTCACCTTAGCACTTCTTCGCAGTGGGACATGAACTGCTTCCTCTCCAGCCAAATCATCAAGACGTATGGGGGTCTGGATCAGAATCCATGGAATGAGGGAGGCATGATAAAGGTTGGTTCCATCTCTCCCTCAGACTAGGTGCTACTGCTGCCTGCACTGGAACCTGGTTCTTGCCATTCATTACTCCCTGATGATGCATTATCGCTTTCATCCACTGGCAGCTCTGAACTGAGCTGTGGACACACGTCTCCCATGTGCCATCAATGACCACCGACTGTGAATTGATTATCCCAGTAATGCGACCTGGTTTAAATTTTGACATGCAGTATCCCTGTGGATTTTTTACACAGATTGAGTCCCCCTCACTGTACCAGGTTGACATCCCTTGGTGGTCAGGCAGGAGCACAACATCAATTCCTTTCACTTGAATCTGGTATGAATTCAGCAGAAAAGGCAGACATATTGTCCTTAGGTGTAATGTTGTACCAATATACGGCCTTCATGATTGGACAACTCTTCCATGTAGAAATTCGTTTTATTGTTCAAGGACACCTCTACAATACCATTTCCAGACAGTTTGTATATGCAGTGTGGTCAGAATTGGATGCCCCATTCATCCAGGAACTGTCTGAATTGCTGACTGCAGAAGGCACTGTCATTATCGGCCAGAAGCTAGGATTGGGTGGGAGGCGTACATTCAAAAAACACAGACTCCAACTGCTGGATCACGTGTGCAGTGTCCTGCTGAAGCAACAGCCACCAATTCGAAAAATGCGTGGAGCTCGCAATCGATCCACATTTCATGCACACAGAGCCTTCATGATAGTCTGTTTCTGTTTACATAGAAGATTTTCAAGCAACGACAAACTCGTGCATATAAGATGCTGGAAGCAAAAATTGCAAAAATGTTATTAAGCTTATCAGACGATATGAAAAGAATTTACATAAAATAAATAAACAACACTTGTCTATATTATTTAATGAAACATGCATCAATATATATATATATATATATATATATATATATATATATATATATATATATATATATATATATATATTATGTCCATCGTCTTTGTCATGTTGAATTGATAATGTTAATTATATTTTATGAATATGTCCTTAAGATGGTTTATTAGACCGAAACGTCCGACGTTGATATTATATTAACATTAAAACAGCATAATTGCATAATAGGATTTTTGTTTGTTTTTTCCGTATATTTTTCTTTATATATATATATATATATATATATAAAAAATCATCGATATATGCAAACATTACTCTCTTTATCATTTTATCCTGTGCTAACACAGCCTCAAGCACAAACTGCATTATCAGGGGTGCTACATTCAGGCCAAACCCAACCATATCTCTTTCCTTTAAATATAATTGTTTGGTGTGGCCACAGGGAACTCTCAACGTGAAACTGCAGGTCCAGAATGGATATGTTAGCATGCCCTGCTGTCTACATTCTCACAGTTTCTCCATGCAGACATCTACAGCACTTGTGAATGTGTCAACACAGGTGTTGAGCTCGCAATAGTCCATTATAGTATGCACATTGTTTTTTGGCCTGTAGTATGGTCATCAGTAGTATCAGTCTCTTGGGTGTACCAAACTCCTCCTCAATATACGCCAGTAGAAAACCGTTGTCCATCCAGGTCTGCAACTCACATCCGTACTCCTCCTTCAACTTGCTAGACACACTGGATATTCAGAGATTCTGTTCCCAAGTTTCTCTGGTGCATGACCTGCTGACCACTTCCAGGCTGCAACCCACACTCTCTGCAGCTTGTTGAATTTCATGCTAAAATCAGTTTCATTGATGTAAAGCACTGCACAGATGGGCGATGTTTGCTCAAACTTCATACTTCCAGACTGCATAATGCAAATGCTGCTGAGCGCCTTAATGGCATCAATATCAAGCAATAGATAGAAATCTAGAGGCTTCCCTCACATAACCAGCACATCGATTGTGACAGTTATTGGTTGCTGTGCGAATCCAAATGGTGCCGCTTCTGCAGTATGGTTACCATCATGTCCTGCTTTGACCAAGACCAACATAGCTTTGCAGTCAGAATCTCGGCTGAAATAGCTTCTTGTTATTTTCTTAGTCGAGTCAACAAATAGCAGTCTTTACAACATCGAAATCTCACATCTGCTCGCTTCTATTTCCAACTTGTTTTGTTTCAAAATGGCTGATCGCCAAATGCTCAATCTCATAAATGTTGGTTCAGCAGGCCAGACACCTTGGACATTTTGGATCAGGTAAGTGTGAATATCTATCATTAAAGTTTGTATGAATAAAATATGTACTCTTTGAAAGAAATCAGTTTGTAGATCAGGTTTTATTGATGTATTTTTGTAAAAAGGGTTTTTGTGAAGAGTCAAATATATTGCTGGTAAATTTTTTTTTTTTCAAAAATGTATTGCTGGTACTTCCACTATAAAAATCCATTTTTATACCTTCACAGTGGCTTGACCTCAGCTTGGGGGATAACTACTTGTCCACAGCTGGGAACCCAACAGAGGACAGACCTGGGAACAGTAGCAATCATGAGGCTATTCCACATGCCTTAAAACCACCCGATCAGAGGCCTTGCTGCTGGATGTAGTTTAGTGTCATACCCAGGACAATTGTTCTTATTTCTAATACTATTTTTTTAACTGACTTTTAAATATGCACACACTTTGTATAAAAAATTTTAATCAGTCAAACACTAATTTTCTTTTTATCACATTCATAAGAATTGTCTCGATTCAAAAATTCCACTTGGCTTTACTTTTTCATTTTTGGAAAGACAGATTTAGTTTTAAAGTTTCATATATCATAAAATTATATACAACATTAAAAAAAAAAATAGGTATTGAATATCACCAAACCTTTCTGCTTGTAATCCAGTTGTTTGGTTTAAAAGATCTCTTGTCTGTTCTTTAGCTGCCTAGAAAAGTAAGAGCTTTTAATAAAGTTTTCTTTTTTATTTAGATTATAAGACTGACATAGAATAATAAATTAGTAATAATTAAAAACTATAGATGTCATTTTAACTAAATATTTTAGAACGCTTGGAAGACAACAGAAATAAATTTATGAATAACAATGATAACTCAATTAATAAAAGTTAGAAAACAAGTGAAAATGCAAGTATGTTAGTGCCTAAAACTATGAAATGTCAACATAAGATCAGGGTAGATAACTCTTTATTGACAGAACGGAAGTTGGAAAATAATGCTTAGTTAAAGTTATTTTTTTAAATGCAATCTTTTCTCAAATGGTTGATTCAATGGGAAAAAATCCTTTAAAAGACAAGCTTTTGAACGTTTTTTAATACTGAATATTAAAATATCTTTAAGATTAATATGACGCTCAGAGATAAAATAAAAGATATTAAAAAATGTTATTTACAAATATTACTGCATATCATATTTCATTAGTCAACTATACCATTTGACTTCTTCTAGATTAATCAATTTCTTATTTATAAAATCCACGTTATTTAATAATATAGACTTATTAATTTAAAATATAAAATTCATAAACTTAATAAACCAAATTTAATTACCTTGAGTCTGTTGGTCATATCCAGGCAGCATTCATTCATGGCTTTCACATCAGCATAAACACTGTTCAGTTGCTATAAAATAGAAACATTTGTTCAGTTAAATATGCTTTTGTTTATGAATTTCTATACCTTTTTTGCTAAATATTCTTCTCTAAAACACTTTATATAATTTAAATTAAGCAAAATATTTAACTATTTAATTGCAAGAACAATTAAGAAGAGTGATAGCAATATCAGAAACTAATTCATTTCCTTTTGATGTCAGTTGAAAAATTATTTCTGACTGAAGTAGATCTATTTAAAAGCATATCAATTTGTCTTCCTGTTTTTTAGCCATAAAGGCTAAAATAATGCTGAATAAACCCTACTACTTTCTTTCTCTTAAATTTGAAAACAGGAACAAGCCATGAAAGTTGGGTACTCATCTTTGTTCTGTTAAGAAAAGTCAAAATGTTTGTTTTACTAATCATCAAATATCTGGACAATAATCAGAAGCAACTCAATCTTATGGAGACGTCTTTGCCAAGTCAAAGCCTGATACAGAGAAGAACAAGAACCATGTGTATTTTATTCATTGCAGTTGTGGCAAAGAATACAAAAGTGAACCCAGCTGATCACTAAAATAAGGCAAGGGAGACATTGAAAAACTGCAATTAAGGGTGAGAAAATGAAATCAGGTATAACTGATCCTATATAGAGGGAAAATGGTGCTCATCAATCCTTGTGGAATGAATGTGTAAAAAAAAAAAATAGATGAATACTAGACAATTATATACCTGGAAAAAACAGTATATATGCTAAGCTATGACAACATTCTCTGTAGGCCTAGCATAGATATGGGAACCATTAATAAAGAAAGAAAAAGTCACAGAAGGAGCCAAGTTTAACAGCAAGGCTGCATCAGAGCAGGCTAGAACATTCAGCTTAAGGCCCAAAATTATAGCTTGAGGTCTGCCCCACAGAAAATAGTCTAGATGATTAAAGCATTGGTTCATGAATTTGAAGGCATAGTAATTGCAAGTTCAATCCCTGAGCTGTGTAGGTCAGACTTAGTAGAAACAGTATTAGTAATAACCGAAGTAAAACAAGATATCCCTAAACATGGACATTGGAATGGGAAAAGTCTACACCTGTAGATTAAATAAAGGGTTCAATTCAAAATTCCCTGAAGGTTACCTGAATCGACACACCTGAATCACCAACATTCATTTAGGAAGATAAAGATAATCCAGAGACCAGAAAAAAGACCAAGTGATGATTTTCAAGAATTCAATTTACATTTCAAAACTTTTAAATTCAGCAAATTTATTTCATTTCTCTCCATCTTAAAAAAAAAAAAAAATTGGCAATGTTTAACCTTTGCAGAGAAAATGTGTCAAGTAGATGGTTATTCCCTTGACACCACTATTACTGTATACACTTTTGACTCCCTCAGTAATTTTGTTTTAAAAAGTGATGATCAGAATATTAATAAAACCCAAATATATAAAAGTAGATTTATACCTTTTCTTTATTCTTAAGAATTGATATTAAAATATTTAAAATATTAAACTCTATTTATTTATTTATTTATTAAAGTGATTATTTACAAGAATAATTTTAGAAGATTATAAAAATGTGAACCAACCATAATGAAATTATTTACCATTTTATAAAGAAATAAAATACAAAATGATTTTTTTTATTCATAAACTTATAAAAATGTCTAAACAAAAAAATTTAAATAAACACATAATAATGAGTAACTGTAAGTATAAACTTTGAAAAAAAGCCTTTTCCTGATATTTCATTTGCTCTCATCACATGAATTCACTAAAATATGTTGAGAGCATCTCTTCCTCTTACATATTTTGATAATTTTGTAATTTTTTATAAATTCCTGAATAAAAAAATTTCTTTTCAAATTTCTTTATGAAATGGTAAATCTTTATAATGATAAATAATAAATATTGCATTGTAGTTGCTTTATGTAATTTTGAGAATTGTGATGTTTATTAAATTTTTGAAAATGATTCCTTTTCAAATTTATTTCTTTATAAATGTGACACTATTTAGCTATGGTAATTGGCTAACTAATTAAGCATAGAAATTAAAACCAAGAAATACTTAAGGCGAGAAAGAGCTATAACAAAAGACAGACCGAGCGACATTTTTTTTTAAAAAAAAAAAAAAAAAAAAAAATGGGAAAAGATTCTATTTCATTTACGAAGAAAGATACTTTTTCACAGAAGACAGAAAATCTGTAAGAGAAAGCCAGATTTCAGATTCTGTCAGAATTAATTAATGTCATGATCAGATAGTGACGCGCCAAGGGAAGCAGAATTCGGGGAGGAATGACAAAGCCGACCACACACGGCGACCATAAAAAAATTTCGGCTTCGGTCAACTGCATACAGGCAGAAGAAATCAATATTGGTTATCAGAGATACCATTAATATTTTTCATTCTTGAATTCCGATGAAGAGAACCAGCCGTTATGTATACAGATCTTGATATGATCATTGTTATTGCTTATTCAAACGACAGACTTAATGTTGTGAAAGTGGGCATCTGGTGATACAAAAGTTTTAAGACACGAGAAAAATAAAGAATTTGATTTTCAGGTGGAAAGTTGACTAGCAGTGATTAATGAGTCAGTAGAGATTCTGCTAAGTGGATTTTGGGTGGCTCAGGATAAGATAAAAATTTAATTATGGCCACATGGGATTCATAAGAATTCTGGCTGATAGAAAAGAAGGAAAGAAAAGAAAAGAGAATTTTTTTTTTGACGATAACTTTAAGAAAGCCAAGTCTAGCCACATCCATGCTGCCAAGTGATCATTGGCCAAGTGATGGCGTGAGTGATAGGCGAAGGTGAATGTATGAGAAAGGTTAGGAAGGTGTTGACACCCACTAAGAGGATTGGTATGAGATATCAATATGAGAAAGGAAGAGTCTAGGAGGATAATTCTCCTCCAACCTCTCCTCACGGACGAGGGAGAAAACCCCCCCGAAATGGAAAGTGATTGGCTTCCAAAAAATGGGAAGTAATAAATTTTCCTGTCCTGAGGACAAAGAGAATTTTTGTTGGGAATTAAGAATTGTCAAAGAATCCAAACCACGACAAGCCCCAACCTGGAGTTGGTCGGTGTCCATATAAACAAATGTCTCAAGGCAGCTAGGCAGAGTTTCAAGAGAGTTCGGAGTTGCAGTTGGAGACCAACCTCGCAGGGGCTGACTGAAAGATTTCCATGTCCTTTTCGACTTGGTCTTCCTACCAAAAGCAAGTTTTTATTGACGAATGACTTAAGATACCATAACTAGCTTAAGCTTGCTCGACGCCTGATTGATTTCATCTACCTAAGATCAAAGTCACAACGTGGGTAAGTTAGACTTGAAATCAAAGCACTTACTTTGGTGACCAAGTGTTGGAGGTGAGCTGAGAACAACAAAGCTGGTAACAAACCGGAAATGACCAGATCGACCGGGACACAGGCTGGTGGCAGTGACAAGGAGTCAACCCCAAAACGCTGGTGGAAGAAACTTCATGGCTTCGCGCCGCAACTGGGAGTTGACCACAGGCCAACGGCACAGTGTCATATATTGACGTCGCGACCAGTGGACGTCCCATATTGGCGCTGCGACCACCAGTGGGTGTCACGTAAAGTAGTAAATAATAACTATCACATCTTACTTGGTTTACATATTTGATAATCTTGTAAATAAACATTGCTGAGGGAGTCAAAAGTGTAAACATTAACAGCAATATAAAGGGAATAACCATCCTTTCAAAAAACAATTTTTTTCCAGGTACAAAGATTAAAAATGGCTGATTGAACATTATGCAGTGAAATTTTCACATCAAACAAGTACATGTCCAACTAGGAATTTATTGATTTACATTTATACATTTTATTAATTTTCCAATTTTTAAATTCTTTAAACTGCATTTATAATTATGACATCTATCTGTATATAGAAAATTAGGAAACCATTAACTTTTTTTTATATATATATATATATATATATATATATATATATATATATATATTATGAAATGGACAAAGTTGTTACAATTATTTTAAGACATTTTTATATTTATACATTCTTTTATAGATACAAATATGCGTCCTCCGACAGGAATCGAACCTGTATCCTATACGGAACTCATATAGCCTGACGTGCTTTTACCTATTGAAAATTTCTCAGACATTCAGGCCGGTAAATGTTGTTAATACTGTTTATTATAAACAGAGCATTTACTTAAATATTTGTATCTATAAAAGAACGTATAAACATAAAAAATATCTTAAAATAATTGTCAGACTTTGTCCATTTCATAATGTGTAACATCATTTGTTTACATTTGGCTACACATCGAGCAGATATGAATGTATAAGAGAAAATCATGGAGAATTGTGGTTTAAAAACAGTAAAATCGACCTTGCTAACCGAAACGCTCCTCTGTGGCTCAGTTGGTAAAAGCACATCAGGCTATATGATGATTCCGTATAGGATACAGGTTCGATTCCTGTCGGAGGACGCATATTTTCTATGAAATTTTCTTGGACATTCAGGCCAGTAAATGATGATAATACTGTTTATTATAAACAGAGCATTTACTTAAATATTTGTATCTATAAAAAGAACGTATAAACATAAAAAAATGTTTTAAAACATAATTCTGTGACTTTTGTTAGTCTGTCCATCATGCCGTCTAAAATAGCCATACATTGACTGATTGAAATCAAACGTTGTTGAAAAGTGCAAAAAATAAAAAAAATGTGATTAGAATTTTAATAAAGCCCAAACATATTAAAATAGATTTATACATTTTCCTTATTCTTGAGAATTTTTAACAAAAATATTGAAAACTATTTATTAGACCGAATAAAAAATAACACAACTTGTTTTCATAGTTATTTATAAAATGGTAAATAATAAATATTGCCTTGCAGTTGCTTTACATAATTTTGATAATTGTGATATTTATTAAATTTTTGAATAAAAAGATTCCTTTTCAAATTTATTTCTTTATAAAATAGTAAATAATAAATCTTTATAAAAGATAAATAATAAATATCACATTTTACTTGGTTCTTATATTTTTATCATCATGTAAATAAATACTGCCAAGGGAGTCAAAAGTGCATACAGTAATAGCAGTGTCAAAGGAATAACCATCCTTTGACACAATGTTTTTTGGCAGGCACAAAGATTAAACATTACCAAAATATCATTGGTTTATGAGAATATCTCCAAATCAAATTAGTGGATTTTTCTTTCAATACATTTGACAACAGTATTATCAAATCAATTCACATTGCACAAAGAGTAAAATAATCCATTAAAAAAAAAAAAAAACTGGAAAATTCTCTTATTTTCCTTATTAGTATAGTTAAGATATGTATTCAATAAATACAGATACCAAAGGAAATTTAAAAGCAAAATTTGAATAATTTATGAAATTTGTTCGTCAACACCACTTACATCAGGTCCCCCCGTTAGTAGCAGGACAGCTTGGTATGTCTAGATACAGGCCTCTCGTTAACTGGTCAAGATCCAGATCTTTGTAAGATGTGTCATGCTAATAAAAGCAATGGGAAAACCAGCAGTTATTAGTTGGCAAGACATGGTGTCTTCTGAAGTTGGTCCTGTGGGCATTTATTTTTCTAAAATTACTGTGGTTTGTGAGGCAGTGTCACTTTTGTTACCTCCCATCATTTCCCCCTTTCTACCTATTACCCCCATAGTTGCTAAGTTAGATGTTTTCCCCAATCTCAACACACTCTTTGCTTACATTAAAACTTATAGATTTTAAATCTAATCAATAATCAAATCCTTGTGAACAGAGTCTGATTACAAACTTCTGAGAATCCTGAACCAGACATTTGACTATAAAAGACATTCACAAATGTTTTAATAAACATTGGCAATCTAATTTTACTTTATTTTTTAAGGCTTACAAATTAACAGTGCTCAAATTTTATCAAAATCTAAAAAGGAAGCTTAGAATAAGTTTTTATTTTTATGAATCAATGACAGCAATCGCAATACTAAGGGAGATAACTCGATTTAGCAATAAATGAATACATTTTCAAGTCAATGATACATTACCTCTTCCACAACTTCAAATGCCTGAACAAATTCTTCATTGATTAACAAATTTCGTCTTTCGATGTCACTGCGTAAATTCCTGCGTGTCCTTAAACTATTTTCACCAAAGAATGTTGATAAAGCTTTGAGAGCTTCAAGCATTTCCTAATTGAAAAAAGAAACAAAATATATTAATTAAATTAAATTCAACATCCTCAGAAAAATCATACCCATTTACTGTTAATTTAAAAACAAAGAGTTTAAAATTAGCACTCTTAGTAATCATTGATTAAACAGACAAAAAGACACATGAAATATTCTTTATATAACTATCACAATTAAAAAATACAAAAAACATGACCTCAGCTTCATAACCAATTCATTAAAATGTTTGCATCTGCAATAAAACTGACAAATTTGTTAAAAAACAGTATTTTAAAATAATCTAAGCAGAAACCATACCCAAGTAGTTCAGGGCAAACTTATATTTAAAAATCGCAATGTTTATATATTGATAATAAAGCGTATCAATTGTAAAGTAAGTATAAGTACATTTTTTTATTGCAAAAGGTCAGTGTAAGAAGTTTAATTCTCATTTAAGGTTCTTTTAGAAAAAGGGAAATCCTGCTGGAGACCAGCAACATGTATCGATTGATAGCTACTGGCTAATAACAACTTCCTGTGTTAAGTTCAAAGGTATATATTCAGCTGTCCTTGAATACTTCATTTTCAGAAGTTGAATATTGCAGTATGGACAAAGAGAAAGATTTAAGTGATTTTGACAATTGTTACAGCCGAAAGAATAGCTTAGAGTATTTCCAGAACAGTAAAACTTGTGAATTGTTCAAATTTGGTATTGGAGAGTACTTATTGGCAGTGGTCTGAGCAAGGAGGGAAAAATCACTAAGTGCTAACAAGACATCAAGCAGCCAAGACTCGCTAATGTGAACAGGGACTTTTCTACGAAGTACAAGCGAAGAGAATGGTTACTGTGGTACAAATTGCTATGGCTTGAGTGTGCTGGCCTTGTTCAAATTGTTGATCATGCTAGATAATGCGATCTCTCCCAGAAACTGTAACTAAGGTCTGCTCAGTATAGTTGCAGTATAAATCACAGGTGGGCTCTGTGGGTGTTGAGCAAACACAAATGTGTCTGAGTGAGCATCTGCAATAGGAATTGGCTAGCTGCCCTAGTAGATGGGTATCCTTGAATGAAAGTGGCCAGTTATTATTTATATATATATATATATATATATATATATATATATATATATATATATATATACACATACACCTACCTCATCAGACTGACTATCTTTTATTAAATGATATAAATTTTAACTTGAGCTTAAAAAAATTTTGTTTGTGGGCTTAAACTATTGAAGAGAGAAGTGGTGGGGGGGAAGAGAAAAGAAGTTTGTATATAGGGGTAAGGGAAGATTTAAACCTTTAACCACACAACCATTAATAAAATTCACTGAAATAGAATCTATATTATTATTATTATTACAACTACTACAAAATAATAACAACAACAACTACATACAAACTTCTATCAATATTGGAAAGAGCAATAACAATTACTGGACTTGAGGAACCTATTTTCCTAAAGAAAATTGTTTTAAGAGAAAGATTTTCCAAAATTTCAACCAAAAGTAACACTGGCTGTTTGGTCAATGAATGCTAAATGTATCCTAAGGAAACGGTTAATATGACCATTACCAGATACTCTCTTTCATTTTGTTTTTAATAGTTTTCTTCAGTGACAGGGGCATCTTTCAAAAGGACAATACACCTTGTCATAATGTAAGAATAGTATGGAAATGATTTGAGGAAAATGAAGACTTCAGTGTTGCTATGTTCACCAAATTCCTCAGATCTTAAGCCCATTCATCACTGATGTTGTTGACATGTGTAGTGAAAGAGATAATCAGATACCCCCGAGTTGTACACCGGCTATGTGGAGCTTTTACCCACACGTGATCGCCCAAGTCATACGGCGCACGTTCTTTTATCCGTTCAGTTGAACGCGTTGCGTCAATGCCTCGTAGCCAGACTTTGTACTGATAAATCATGTTGGCTGGCGCAGTTGAGGGCGATACATTTTTGTCTCTCGGAGTAACATTGTACCAATACACCGCCTCCATTATGGAACACTGCTTCCTAGCAGCGATTCTTTTGATCTGACAACCTCATGCACAGAGTCTTCATGTTCTGAAGATTCTTCTTCTGAGGATTCTTCTGGTCTGACAACCTCACGCACAGAGTCTTTGCCATCTGAAGAATCGCTGCTAGGAAGTGAGGAAAAAGGAAAAAGTGACGAAAAAGAAACAAGTCCGTCGCAAGAGTCGCTATAACAGTATTTTGATATGCAAATCTAAAAGTTTGCGTTTTCGTTATGTGGAAAGCTGGTGGGACATCTTCCCGTGGGGTGGATCCACATTGCAACTGCATTTATTAAACGTAGGGTGACTGCTATCACTTCTGGCTGGGATGACACAACAAATGATGCTCCCCTTAGACACATGATAGCGGAAGTCATTACTAGGGTGCGTCAAGATGACCCCCTACGTGGTAAATGATGCGTTGATGGATGTGAATTTAACGTCTGGATCGACGCAAGCTCCCTTGCAACAGGAGTGTCTCTTGAAGTAGGTGAAACTGTCGTGGAAGATGCATGTTGGTTGCGTCCCAAGAAGGATACGCAACATATCAACCTGTCAGAATTAGACGCCGTTATCAGGGGAGTCACCGCGGCCCTTCAATGGAATGCAAAGGTGTTGCATTTATTCACGGATTCCGCATGCACGTATAAGTTGGTAGCAGACACTCTTACGGGGAAGGCCAGGATACGTACAAAGGCTGTGAGCGAGATGCTCATTCGAAGGCGACTAGACACACTGGGAAAGTTGGTAAGTGAATACCAGTTATCCATAGACATACAGCTAGTCAGATCACAGCAGAACAAGGCCGATACTTTAACAAGGGTACCCAAAAAATGGATTGACGCTATTAAGAAAGAGGTAGAGCCGGTAGGACATGTCTGTGTAACATCAGCGAGCAGCCATAACTCAGATTTACTAAAATCTGTGCATTGCCAAAGTGGATATCCTGGTGTAAAACGGACCCTATATTTTGTGAGGCAGATTTATCCCTCCGTATCCAAAGCTGCTGTCAGGGCAGTGGACTATTCAAAGATTTTGTGGATTCGTGGGGAGTACACCTCAGATTTCGCTGCGCGTATGTTCCATCAGAAAATGGCATAATCGAGCGATGTCATCGGAGCATCAAAAGAATCGCTGCTAGGAAGCAGTGTTCCATAATGGAGGCGGTGTATTGGTACAATGTTACTCTGAGAGACAATAATGTATCGCCCTCAACTGTGCCAGCCAACATGATTTATCAGTACAAAGTCCTGGTACGAGGCATTGACGCAACGCGTTCAACTGAACGGATAAAAGAACGTGCGCCGTATGACTTGGGCGATCGTGTGTGGGTAAAAGCTCCACATAGCTGGTGTACAACATGTTGAACCAATAAGTTCATTGAACCAAACTTTACCATCTGACTTGCAGTAGTTAAAGAACCAGCCATTAATATCCTGCTATCAGTTTCCAGAGGAACTGGGGAAAAGGACATGATCAATAATATGCAATTATCAATGACATGGGTAGAGTTTCACACATTTGTAAATAAAAATAAAGTACAGATAACTCTTTAAAACGTAAGGAGATCAATTTGATATTGTATTTATATTATGAAGAGGACCTCCCTTCTGAAATGATAAAAATATTAATATTTTTTGATTCTGATAAATTTCACAGATAGAGGAAAGTATAACATCACAAATTCCTCTTATTTTTTATGAGCAGACCAGTTAATCTCAGCAGCATTGGAAACTTTTTTCAGCCATGTCAAGCCCATGCCTGTCCAGATAAGAGCTCTTTTGCAGGTACATAGAGGACCAACTATTAGACAAGTGGTCAGAAGGTTTTGGTTTAATCAGCATTATTTATATAGTCACATATTCTCTTTTCACAAGGATTACTCTTGGCTGGTAGTGCTATGTAATACTTCTCTTTAATTAACAAATAAATGTAAACTCAGACTACTACAATACATTTATGTCATAAACTTATCTGAATTTTCATTGGTATAACTTTATCAATTATGAATATGCTCCACATAGCTTTGTCAGTCTTGCTAAGAAGTCATTAGGGGGTGCTGTTACACAACTATAAAAATGAGACACTTCCTGTCTTCATTTTCTTCTCTCTCTTTTCCTTCTAGCATGCAGTAGAAGTGAACGCCAACTAGGAAGTTCTTTTAAGCATGGGGATATCTTCCCTTTTAGTGACTGAATCCCACACACACACACATGTATCACCCACATAATTCCTAACTTGTAAAGTTTTCTTTCTTTTGCAGGCATACTGTGTATTTTCTTTCTTTTGTTGCTCAGTTACATAAAAGCAAAAAAAAATACCATCTTGTTGATTTATGATAAATGAAAATAAAGCACAAATAAAAGATTGATTCTTAAACAAAAATGTATAAATGATTTTATCAATAACTGTACAAAATTTTTTTTTGTTTAAATCAGTATCACCTCAATTAAGGCAGTAAAGCCACTAAGACACAAGGGGTCCCAGGAAGAATTACGAACAGAAACATTAATGAGAATAAAGCATAATCAGGTGGGGGGGGGGCAGTAGGTAGCGATTGACATTGCATTTAGATTTTGGCAGATTAAAGTTGACTGGAATGCATGGAGCTGGAAGGGAGTTCCACAAGTGAGAAAAGAAACTGTTAATATAGAACTTATGCCTACATCTAGCCAGCTCAACTGTAAATTGATGAGATCTTGACACCAGTATAGTACTGTGCTTAAATTCAAAAAGTATAGGTACCGTAGCAAAGAGCAATATTTATTCTGTACAATACAGAAATGTGGCACAAGGCCGAAAAGGGGATTGGGGAAAGGACGGTCTTCTTCTGTCTTAACTATAACTTAGCTATAATTTACCGTAGCAAAGAGCCCATCCAAACAATTACCATGAAAGTATTTATAGAAAAGACGCAGACAACTTTACAGCAGTGAGGTAGTGACTGAAGACAAGTTGCCAGATCAGGACCAGTAATATTGCTGATTCTTCTTTGGATTTTATCAAGGAGCTCTAGATAAATAGCAGGGGCACCAGACTATATGTGGCAACAATATTCTAAGCATGGACGAATGGTAGACTTATAGATATGTAAGATAGATTCTGAAGAGAAAAATTGTCTAGCACAACACGCTGAACCAACTTTCTTAGCAGCTGACCTAGCAATGGATTCAATATAGTCTTTCCACTTGATGTCAGCTGAGAACATTAGCCTGAGAAGTTGCAACAAGTCACCTTCATGATTTTAAAATTGTCTGATGATTAAGACATTTAATCTTTTTTAATATCATATCGCAGCAGGATACTCAAGGCTCTCCACAAATTCCTTTTTGACGTTATCTGTGAACTGCCAAAGCCTATTGGGAAAGATAGTAAAGTGGTTTCCTGTTGACGCCCCACAATTTTAAATGTCTTTCTAAAATGGCTGCAATCCAAGGCTCAAGAGCCCGGTCTACCCTACTATTTAACCAATAGGTGGGGAAAGAAGAGATTGATTCAAGGGCATCAGTACAAAGGTGACTGTAACAAACTAGGCTGGATTTTGAACTCTGTCGATTCCACTTGCCATGTCAATAACCATTACACTAATACCACACATCCATTTAAAATTTACCATTTACAAAAAAAAAAAAAAAAAATGTCATGGTATTATGTTGGGTCATTCATGACATTTTTTGAAGGTGTTACCTGGCAGCATTCTTCTCCAAGAGATGGTTTGTACTAGTTTACATGGTACCAGCAGCAGCAGCTGAGTGTAATCCTTGAGAAAAGGCTATTAGTACATACTAGACAGACACTATTTTAACCAGAATCTGAACTCTTTCTTCATCATGCCATTTTCCATGCTCTTGTTTGTCCTTCTTTGCACTTCCAATATCATTATTAATATTAAAATTAAAACTGCAATTGAAAACTAAAGCTAGCATAAAATACTTACTGGATTCTATAGAAAAATTCAAAATAAACTGTAGATATTTGATCAATGAGTCGACTATAACACAAAGCTAAATTTGTTCAACACTTACTTCATTAGAACACGGAACAAAACTTATGTAGCAATGAAAACCAATTTTGTGATCAGTGCTTCAGACAGCAGTTCTTCATTTCATTAAGAAGGGACAGAGACACAACATTATGTTTTAAACAATAGTAGAGGGTTCCTTGCTATTTTGGGACGACTAATCATAAATTGTGTGATGTATTGCTAAAGATTACTCGACACTAAAAATTTTAAAGAGCTTGTATCATATTTTTTTTTTTGTAGATTAAATAAATAGATGACAGGTGCTATATGCCTGTCTATACACAAAGACACCTAAAAATATGTAATATAGTTTTTTTAGGATTTTGTTTTAGCTCAAATGTAGCCAATTTCAAAATATATTTTGATGCTGTCATCACAAAAAAAAAATTTCTTAAGTAAAGAAAGAACAACATGCAACTCTAGTAAACCCACATTAAATAAACACAATCATACTACCCACCCAAATATAACTTAAGATTATTGCACAAAATTAGATAACTGAATCAATTGGTTAAGTTGTCAGATCCTCATACGTTGAAACCAACGGGAACTTGGCTCTGATTCCTCATTCCGAGTTGCTATCCATTACTCCACTGTGCCTCCAAATTCCAGTCAAATCCTTTGCATTCACTTACATGCAAATACACTTGAGAAAAGTATGAATCTTCTCCTCCTCCCAGCTATGGATAAATAGCAGAATAGACTGGGTTCTATAGCCTTGGGTGGCAATCAGTCTAGAAGGAGGACAATTCTGAATTCAAAACCTGCAAAGGGTTGTTTGGGGACTTTGTGGCACATTGTGCACCAGTTCTCTGTATTTGGTCCTTCCAAAAAGTGTAGTTAGTTCTGCACAAACCTTCACCACTACAATCAAATGATCTGTGCAGGTAGTCTGGCTGTCGGTTTCTAGAAACCGAGTTGCTTGACCCTCATACGTCAAAATCAACAGTAGAGTCCAGTATATATATATATATATATATATATATATATATATATATATAGTCATCCACAGAGACTGTTTCGCCGTTTCACGGCTCTTCAGTTGCCTCTAGCTAGGATCGAAACCCGACTGAATTGGTGTCAGTCGGAGATTCTACCACGGCAGGGATGAAGGTGAATTTTAGCGTATTTATTTTTAGATAAACACACACAGTGACCTAGATAGATAGATAGATAGATATGAAATGGAGGCATTTTTGAAGTATAGAGTTTTAAATTTACATCAGAAACCTGACAAAGTAGTAAATTTAGTAATAATTCGGTTTCCATTTACACAGTTTGTTTCGTTCTTTGCGAAAATGCCCATTGCCATTATTCCTTCGAGAACTTGATAGTTTTCGAAGAAGTTGACAAACAAAAAATGAGTGAAATGACTCCGAAGTGGAGGTTCGAATTATGATGTAAGTAAAAAGGAGTATAGTGTCAAAAATTAGACACTCTCTGTATGGCATATGCAATAAATGACAAACTAAACAACACATATTTCTCGTTCATGTCCGTAATTAGGACAAAAAAAAATGTAGGCTGATCATTTGTTTTTCTATATTTTCTACTTTAGTGAATTACCTGTACTTCTAGGGGAAAGGATTTATCTTTCATTTTAGCGCCCCAAACAATTTTTACATGCCAAACCCTGATTAACTCGAAACAGAAGAACCAAACCAAAATTATCCTTCCTTTGGATATGAAATAATGCGAAAAAACATCGTCCAAAATGCAATTTAATTTAATTTATTTAAATTATTTTTAACAGCTGCGTTTTAAATTCAATATTATTTGCGATCAGCGAGAAAGACAAAAAATATATTTTCAGTTTCTATACGTTATTTTTAGAAAATATATTTAAAAAAATATATCAAAAATATATTTAAACAGAAAATAAATAATTGTCGAACTTAATCCATTTCATAATATAACTTCCTTTCCAAATTTTAAAAAGTTTTTATTTTACTATTTAATTTCATCAAACGAAAAAGTCAAAGATTCAACAAAAGTAAAAAAAAAAAAAAACTATTGCTATGCTTCTTCTCTACACAAACAAAAACTTTTCTCAGGACATTTTGTCATTTCTTCAATTTATAGAGATGAAAAAATACGGACTTTATTGAAAATATTTATTTGGAATAAATTACATTTTTTTCGGGTAGTATTTTAATTTTCCTTTCACTTATGATGCGGTTGAAAAAGACCGACCTTATTTTTAAATTATTTCTGTTTTTCAAATTTTCATAGCACGTTAAAATTTTTAAATTCCTGCCTTTATTTTCAAGTGCAATTCTATTAAATATTTAACTTGACAACCTATAAAAAATGACAGGAAAGGCTTGTGGATTTTAGAAGTACACTGACATGTTTGGAAAAAAAGGACACTTAGGACAGAAAATGTTTTTCTCAGCTTTATTCAAAAATAGTTATTCTCATTGTGTTATCTTTATTAATGACAATAATTTCATTTTTTTTTTAAATTATTCTTCATTAATTTAAAATAAATGCAATATTTATTTCTACAATCATAAAATTTATTTTAAGCTATTGCAGCTTAAGTTTAAAAAAACAAAAATGTGTTCAGTTATGGATATATTATTTATTACAATAATAAAAATTATTTTATTAATTAAATTTTACCTATTTATCCGAATAATAAATTATTTAGTATTCATTGTCGAATAAATTTAAGACTAAGAGTTCTTTTATTCGACGATAAATACAAATAAAAACAGTGGAGTATTATTTTGTCATGTAGAATTTCTCTTTTTTTAATAACCAAACAAAATGTTTCGCTTTTAATTAGAACGAATAAATTATTTAAAAAATACCAAAAAATTAAATATAAGTCAAAAATATATCTTGAATTAAAAGGAAAAACACCCGAAAAAATCAATTTAAAAAATAGTAACACGGTGACCCGAACAAGTAAAAAAAAAAAAAAATTAGTTTTAAAATTAAAAAGATATTTATGAACTTGTTGACAAAATAAATTTAAATAAAATAATCTCGGTCAAACGACTTTTTCATGCAACTAAAAATTTAGTTTTAGTTAATAAGACAAAATTTAAGATTAATATGTAAGTTTTTAATTACAATTTCTAATACAAAACATAAATATTTATTCATGAAAAATAGCAGACAGCAACTGACACCGTCACCTTCGTTCAAGTTTCTTTGAAAATATGTTTAAAAAAATGAAATTCAAACCTTGTCATTGTCAATTCTACTTTCCAATATTTTGTTTAATTTCCGAGCTAAGGGATTGTTGTTATTTGTATTTGGTAATACAGGAAAATTTGCATTGCTAGATTCCGTCACTGTGCCTTCCTTGTTGTTCGCCATGTTTTTTTTTTTTGTGACGGTGTCAGGCGGTGACTGTAAATGGTTCGTTTACAGAAAGCAAGGAATTATGGTTAATCTTGCAGCAGGCAAAGTCGGATCAATAAGTCCGTAACCTGACACGTGGCTATTAGTTGAATTAAGACTTGATCTGAACATTGCATTGTATGATATTGAATCCAAGAGAGTATTACCAATAATTTAGCACTTCTACATGATGTAATAAATAATTAGAAAGCTTGCCTCACTGGATCAATTTAAGACTGAGTTCAATCCTCACTGGGTGCTCAACACTTTCGGCCTTGTGCCACATCTAAGCTACGCTTAGAAAATCAGTTGGGCACCTTGACGTGGTGCAATGGTTAGCAAGCTTGTTTCGCTTAATTACGACTGAGTAGTGACTTTGATATAATCATTTATTCATTGTCGAATAAATTTAAGAAGACTAAGAGTTCTTTTATTCGCTTTCGGCCTTGTGCTATAGCTAAACTATGCTTAGAAAATCATTTAGAGTTCGCCAAATCTCCACGTTTGCAAATACTCTGCCTTCGGGCGAAGAGGAACTCAGGTGAAATGCCTACAGGCAGAGTCTTGTCTGGGGAGGTTGACAGCCAACCAACACATGTTAGTTTGCTGTCTACCCCATGTGGGGTGGGAGTCTAAGGGAAATTTTTGCCCGAGCGTACACACTCGGAAAGCCCCACGTTAAAAACCGGCCTTGTCGGCGGGGGGACTTACCGAGTATTAACACTGTAGCTTGAATTATTACCGATTACCTGAATTTTCAGAAATTTGTTTTGTATCCATTGCTTCACTGACGGTAATGGTGATCAAATTACAAATCTAAATTGTTTGTTTATTTAAAACACTACACATTTATTAGAAAATATATTTGTTATGTGTATTCTTTAGCGCATATACTATTCATATTATTAATGATTCAAGAAAACAACAAAACTCCAAATGTGAATCAACAAGTATATATTGAAATAACATACAAGAACAAAATATATAATAATTTCTATTTAATGTATAGATTAAGGGAAAAGAAGTTGCTTCCCTTGTACTGTATTTTGATTTGTAATTGATTGTTTGAAAGAAAGTTCTTGTGAGAGAAAAATGTTCAGGAATCAATGTTAGAACAAGTCTGCTGTTAGAATAGATAACACAAGAATACAATTGATCATAAAGTGTGTTGTGTTAGAGAAATTAACAGAGTCCTAGTTGATTGAACTTGGCTGAGTCACAGAGAGATATGTATATATGTATTACAAAATTATGTGTCTATGTGTGCGTTTGAAATGTTATGAGTAAAGTCATAGGTTTGTGTTGACAGGTGAAATTTGCTGGACTCTACTGGCGGCTTGTGAAAAAGTTGCCTCTTTTAAAGCTACAGGTAGGTTCCCAGCAAAACTGCTGGAAAAGTTGATTTTGCACTAAAATATGTGATTGGTTAAAAATTGACCAATCGCTAAATTTGTACTAACGAAACAAGTAAGCAATTTCAAAACCAAAAAATTCAAAGCAACAACTGTGATGGCTAAATTGTCCTATAGAAAAGCAGTATTGATTTATTAGCCAAGCGCAGATGAATAAATGTGGGCATGGAAAAACATAGCAGTCGCTACATATTCAGTTAAAATACAGAAGGAGCTATCCTTCAAAGAGCTGCACAATTTTCCTGTCATCCAGAGGGTGTTGTCAGACAGGGAAAATAGCCTCATGATATGGATGTCCATTTGAATTTCATTCAGATTGTGTAGGGATTTTTACTAAATGTAGCTTAGATGTCCAAAAGTATGAAGCACTCAATGAGGATTGAACTCACTTACTCAGTTGCAAATGAGCTAGTGAGACAAGCTTGTTGAACATTACTCCACATCGAAGTCCCTACATTCAGATTTGAGTATGTACATATGTGAGCATGTATATTTTAATTCAATGACAGACCTAAAAATATAATCTTTAAAAAAAAATAATTCTGTTTATTACCAAATAATTTCTGAAAAGTTTGATAAAATCTTATAATTATCTGATTTTTTTAGGATATAAAAAAATTGAAAATTTCTTTGTCTCTAATTTAATATCTAAAATTTTTCCAAAAAGAGGGTTTAATAAAATGTGTTCAGCCTTTTCTCCTTCCTCATTTTTATTTAAGGCTTGCCTTCTCCTTAGTTCAGAGAGAAGTATAGAGAGAGAAGGATAGAGAGAGTGAGAGAGATAGAGAAAAAGATAAAGCTTTTAGTATAAAGTGAATGCCTTATCTTAATTTTAATTTTTTTTTTTTAATATATATATATATATTATTTTTATATTTTATCAACTGTCCAGCTTTCATTGCCATAATGCAGGGTAGACATCACATAGCAGTCCAGCACTATTATTTTTGTTACTAATGTTATTTTTTTTAATCACTTACTACCATATTCAGTTACTTTTACTAGTCCTATGCTCCTTCAAAGCTCTGTAAAAAAATCACATATTAAACACCAGTTCTCATATGATCATCAGAGTTAAGCAACATCAAACCTGGTCAGTACTTAGATGGGTGACTGCTTGGGAATACCAGATTCTGCAAACTGGGATGGTGTAATGGATAATGGCTTGAAATTGAAAATCAGAGAGTTGAGTTCTAGTTCCAATTGGGTTTGTTATATTCACTTACGCACAAATACCCTTGGGAAAGGTATGAATCCACCTCTTCTTCTCTAGCTATGAGTTAATTAGTACGACTTGTATCAGTGAGGAATGGTGGAGTAATGGATAGGAGAAGAGGTGGGGAAATGGATTGCGGCTCGGATTGCGTACCTTATTCCCTCCTGTGGGACTTTTCAATCCCCAGCAAATTTAATTGGACACAATAATACACAGCATGCAAATATCATAAACTTACAAGCATATCTACTAAGTGTATCGCACCAACAAAAAACTCATCTCAAAATGTAAGTCTCTCGCAATCTTTCATATGAACTTTGTACATGGGTACTTACGAAAAAGAGCAATTCTATACACACACCTTCATTCACAACTTTTGTATTCTTTCTATATAGTTCGCTGAGGCAATAACATATGCAGTGATGTCAAATATATAGTTAATTTGTTGTCAACCCTGTATGGAATATAAGACCAGAGCCTCACCACACTAGGTGTTGCTATTTTTTTTTTTTCATAAGTAGGTTTTTTTTTTGTGGAGGCATGGTGGAGTAATGGATAGTGGCTTGGAATCGGAGAGCCGAGTTCAAATTTCAGTTGAATCTATTACTTTCACTTATGTGCTAATAACCTTGGGAAAGGTATGAATCCATTTTTCTCCCCCAAGCTATGGGTAAATAGCAGGACAGACTGGGTTCTCTAGCCTTGGATGACAACTGGTCTACAGCAGAAAGAAATGGCAACCTACTGCGGGAAAAATCTGCCTCATCAGTCATGTATCAAAAACAGACATGATCACCTAAGCATGTATCATGCATGGCACATAACTGAGTGACTGTATCAGTAAATCCTTATTATCTACATTATCTTATATTCTTACAATTTTTAAAAAAATTTCTGGCTTAAATAACCTGCAAAAGGTTGATAAACAGTAAAAAAACAAATCAATCAATCTAATATCTGTGACTTTTGGTGAGGAGTTCATCCATGATCCCAGATAGAGAACATCATCTACTTGATTTTGTTTGCCATCTTTGAATGGCACAAGATTTCTTTCTACTTGATTAAATGACATTCATTCTGTTTTAATCTCATTTATATACAAGTGCTACAACATCTTCATCATCTGTTTTAATCTCATTTATATGACATCCAACTTGTGCCATAGAAGATTCTAATCTGAGAAGAAATATTTGCGCTTGTTTAAGAGTCTTGGAATATAGGAGCTAGATCATCTTCAAAAATTTATGATGATGATTGCAGGTTATCAACAACTTATTACTTCTTTTAGGGTAACCCCAATACTTTTGAATTCCAGTCAAATCCATTACATTCACTTACGTGCTAATACCCTCGGGAAAGGTATGAATCCTCTTTTTCTCCCCTGCCCAGCTATGGGTAATATCTAATATCTGTGACCTTTGGTGAGGTGTTCATCCATGATCCCAGAGAGAGAACATCATCTACTTGATTTTGTTTGTTATCTTTGAATGCTATAAGGTTTATTTCTGCTTGATTAAACGACATTCATTCTGTTTTAATCTCATTTATATGACACCCAACTTGTGCCATAGAAGATTCTAATCTTAGAAGAAATATTTGCGTTTGTTCAAGAGTCTTCAAAATTTATGATGATGATTGCAGGTTATCAACAACCTATTACTTCTTTTAGGAAACCTCAATACTTTTCACATCTTATTTGCTGAATCGATTGATTCCTTTTTTGTGGATTATCAAACATTTGTAGGTTATTTAAAGCCAGAAAATACTTTTAAATTGTAAGAAGTTTTGTTTTCTGAGATAATAATGAATTATTGATATATGTCTCACTAATTATCATATATGTGCAGAAGGTTGATAAACTGTAAAAAGGAAATCAATCCAACATGTATGATATTTGGTGAGGAGTTCAATCATGATCCCAGATAGGGAACATCATCCTCTTGATTTAGATTATTTACTTTGAATGTTATAAAGTTTCTTTCTGCTTCATTAAAAGACATTCATTCTCTTTTAATTCCATTTATATGACATCCAACTTCTGCCATAGAAGATTCTAATCAGAGAAGAAATATTTGTGCTGGTTTGAGAGTCTTGGAATACAAGACATAGATCATCTTCATCATCTGTAATGATGGTTTTATAAACAATAAATTTTATAAACAATAGAGTTTACTATTTTTGTTGACAATTCTCAAGAACAAAGAAAATACATAAATTCACTTTCATATGTTTAGATTTTATTACAATTCTAACCATTGCTTTCTAAAACAATAAACATTGCCGAAAAGTGAAGGTAGTTAAATTAAGGTCAATGAAAAAAAACATCCTTTTGACACTTTTGCACGCCCAAGGGTTCAAGTTTGCCAGGTGTTCCATAAGTCGATCATTTCCAGGCGCTTTCTTCTGTGTATGGAACTTTCCTAAAATCTTCAAATATCAACACAGCTGTCAGTTTTTCTATCTTTTCTACCCTTGATTATGTAATGTTAGACTGACCTTTTCCAAATCCATTTTTGTTTAATTCTCAGTAATGAGTCAACAAGTGGGTGAATTTTACCAGGTTATAAATCTTCATTGCAACAGCTGCTAATGGTATATATAGTATATACATTAGGAAAGTTATTGACAAAGTGGAAACTTTTTTGTGTGATACATTTCATCTTTTAGGACTTTAAAGGAAGAAATATGTCAAAAAAAAAATTTTTCAACTTTGTCATTAGTTTTCCTAACATTATTCTGACATAAAAAATTATATATCCTCTTCTCCTATAGTGTGTGTGTATATATATATATATATATATATATATATATATATATATATATATATATATTGTGTGTGTGTATATATATATATATATATATATATATATATATATATATATATAATATGTATATAATATATATATGACAGAATATTGCAGTAACAATATTTTTTTTGATAACTGTGATTTTTTCCAGCTACAAGTCTGACTATTTAACCTATAAGTGGGAGAAGAGATTGATTCATAACTTTCCCAAGGATATTTGTGCAGTTGAGTTCATTGTATTCATATAATAGGCAAATATCATTGAGAAAAGTATGAATCCATCTCTTCTCCCACCTGTGGGTTAAATAGTCAGACTTGTAGCTGAAAAAATATCATAAATATATTATATAAATATATATATATATATATATATATATATATATATATATATATTCGAATAAATCTAATGAGCCAGGCAAACCTACCTAGGTTTCACCTAAATGGATCTTCAGGGTAAACTGATTCTAATTTATCGCTCTACTTAGCGTATTGAGCACTCTACATTTTTGTTTAGTCCTTATACTCACTTGGGTTTTTTTCTTTAGACTAAGGACTTAAGACACTTGAGGATTTGTTTCACTTTGTTCTGATGTTTTTAGTTCTTTCTTTTTTTTTACGATATATATATATATAAAAGTGAACATTGAAGTCAACACATAGATCCGACAGACTGTTTCATGCTAGACGCAGTCATCAGGCCACTTGACGATTGAATCTTGCATGAAACAGCCTGTCACCTCTAAGTGTTGATTTCAATGTTCACTTTTATATTTACACATGTTCTATCTCTGATATTGTGCGCTTTTTCCCATAAATATAGCACATCTTAAGACTATATTTCTTCATATATATATATAATGTATAATTAATTAATAAATAGTACTTTTAAAGGAATGCTCTATTTATGAGAGAAAAGTGCTCAATATCAAGAACAGCATATATAACAGTGTGGACATAGGTATTAACACTAGATGGTGACAGTCTGTTTCATGCTTAATTTCAATTATTTCCATTTAAGCTTGAAACAGACTAAATATATACTGTCTACTGATCTTGACACAGATACAATGTGTGCATGCTAAGGAGTAGTAGATAGTCTGATAAAATTTTTAAAAATCTTCAGCTCTCTTGCACAGGGTTTGTATCTGAGACAGTAACACCTGTGCAATAATGTTTGGCATGGTAAAAATGTCCTGCGCAAGTAAGTGTCACACCATGGTGAGGCATATGCACTTCTTTTGTTCAGTTAGATCTGTGGATGTGTATTATGGGTCTTTGATAAACTGGATGATTTTGGAGAATTGCTATGTATGTTGGGTCTGACAAATCTGTAGTACTTTGATGTTGAACATGTATGGGACATGATGAGAGGATACTTGCCTCATTCTGTTAGCCCACCAATAACACTAGCTGTGTTGCATCAACAGGTGCAAGAGGCTTGGAATAATGTCTTACAGGATAGTATTCACTGTCTGTACAATCATGTTGATATCCTAGGAGTGCAATAATAAGTACTGTTTGAGTATTGTTTGTACCACTATGGAGTGTGGATAAAAGCAAAAAGAATGATAATATTGAAAATATAAGTTTCCTTCAGAGATTCAAAACTCAATCTGTTAATTTGAATGAAGGAAAATATAATGTTAACAGGTACGGAATGTATGTACATGCAATTAGCCAATGCAGTTTGTTCGGGTTATCTAAATCTTTGGGTAACATATACACTCCTATCGGAGAATTGAGGTTAAAAGGTTAGTGGACAGTGTTGAACAAAGCTTCCTGACATCTATTTCTGAAAAAACAAAACCAGGAAAGTAATAGAGACATATTATGCTGAGAATTGTTGGGCAAAGCTAGTTGATCTTACTGTGAAATTCTTAGCTGGGTAAAACCAACATACCTACTGCGTATTGGTTAGGTGTGGTGGGGGAGGATAAAGAACTTAATATTGTGAAAATATTTTCCAACAGGTGTGAATCGTTCCAATGTGCTCTGCCCTTTTCCAGAAAAAGGTTAATTTTTTATATAAACAGCTAATAGCAGTTGCTCAGAGTTAGTTGGAGAGTTTGAGAGATAGTTTTTTCGGGAGAGAAGTAGAGACGACTCTCTTGCCAA